GGGGGGGAAAGGAGCGGGTGGGCTATCGTTGGTTGGTGGGTGAGTTGCGGTCTCAATTTCACCTCCCTGCAAGCGGAGCTGCAGAGCAGACGATCCGGAGGGAACTCCGTTGGATGCTGAGTATCACACCTTGATTTCGCGCCTGCCCGGACCGACGCAAGAGCCATCCTCCAGCATCTCGTGACCTCCTATCTCAACGACGTCCTAACCCGATTTCGCACTACCAAACCAGCACTAGAACTCTCCCCCCCAACTCATCAAAACCGTCATGCAAATGTCCCACAGAAGTTCATCCGTGGACAGTCGTCAACGCATTTCGCCTCTTTTATTCCCACACCTTTGCTCTTCGGCCCTCGCAAAAGCAAGCGACTATTGATGAAGTCCCCTGTCGTTGCATTTGACAACGAGTTGCAGCTGTGAGACTGCGGGAGATGCGGCTGGAATGCCACGCTTTCGAGCTCGATGGAGACGAAAGAGGTGTGGGTTGGTAAACGGATTTCATTCCAGTCTCTCGCTGACCCGTTGAACGCGATTGCCTATATATGACCGTCTCCTTTGTGCTTTCTCAGTTCGCCCTCTTTTTCTCCTGCCTTGGTGTTTCCACTGTCTCAAGAAATCCGGTCGTCAGTGAGCTTTCGGAGCTTCTTCGCAATGGTCAAACTCAAACAATGCGTACTTCTGCTCGTCACGGCCGGCCTGGCGTTTGCTTCGGTTGTCGTCGCTACGGGTAAGTTGCCATACCAGACAATCGTGTAGTTTCGGCCAAGTGACTGACCGAAGGAAACCTCTCCACATATTCGATTGTGAAAACCAGCAGATGCGAAGGAGGATAGCCTTTCGAACGACCGAACTGCACCCCATGAAGACGGACGTGCAGGAAAACACGACCAAGTCTCTCACTCGGAGAGCCTCCCACACAACTCCCACGACAGCTTCGATCCCTCCGCCCCCCACGGAATCCCACCCCGCGGATCTGCTCACCACACTGACGACCTCGACCAACAACTCTCCGAATTCCTCTCCACTCACGGCTACCGTCTTTCTTCTACCACTCATCCTTCGCTCTGCCTTCTCCCATCGCCGGGGTGTACCGCCTACACAGTCGAAGAGAAAAAGGAAATCGCTGCGGACGTTCGAACGATGTTTGCTGCAAACACTTGTGCTGGTGAAGAGGGGTGTGGATTGCTCGGAAAAGAAGCGATCGCGGATCTGGCGATGAAGATGGATGAAGGTGGGGAGAAGGATGGGAGGAAACACGAAAAGCGTTCCGAGCAGGGCGACGCCGGGGTTCACGCGGACCTGTTCAGCCAAACCCAGATCCTCTCCACCGCCAGACGTATCTCCTCCACCGCGGTGCAGCTCGCCACCTCGAATCAAGGATACTGCGAACTTCACGCCCCCACCTGCAAGAACGATCCTTGTCCGCTCACCACCGCCGGATGCATCCCATTTACAAGGGAGGAAAAGCAGCAGTACGAGGAAGAGCTATATGTGATGCTGGCAAAAGTTTTGTCTACCGGAAGATGTACCGGCAGCGGAGGATGTGAAGAGGGTGAGGAGTGCGAGCTGTGGGATGACCGGGGAGAAAGGACAGAAGGGTGCAGGGTTCCCACGGATAAAGAGGTCGAGGCCGGGGTGAGGAACGCGATGGATGGACGCTTTGGATCTTCCCCCAACCCTACCCCTGCGAAAGTGAAACGTGACATCGGCACCACCCACCTGACTTTCGATATCTTCTCCCAACACCCGCACATCCACTCCAACCAACTCGCCAAACCAGCCCAACAGATCGCCCACAAGCTCGTACCACCCGCTTTTCATGGAGTGGGATACTGCAAGTCCGGTTCCACCACATGTCTTTCCACAGACTGCCAACTCCCTTCCCCAGACTGCCTCCCGTACAGCACCGGTGAGGTGCAACAGATGGAGGATATGGTTCGAGACGTGCTGATCAGCAACTGGTCTACGGGAAACTGCGATGCCACCGCCAAGAAGGACAACTGCGATCGGGATGGAAGTTGTAATGTCTGGGCGGGCGGCAAGAGGGATGCCGAGTGTGAAACCTTGTCGGGAAAAGAGGTGAAGCATAGGGTCTTTGTGGGTGTGGCTCAGATTCTGGGTGAAGATGCGGGTGACGCAGAGGGGGAGTGGAGGGATGAGAAGGTGGAGAAGGAGGAGGTGGTGTCGGTGAGGCAGAGGCTGTTGGGAAAGATCCGATGTTTCCCGGAGAGTGGATCGGTGTTGTTGGATGTGGAGTCGAAAGAGTTGGGCGAAGATCACAAAGATCTCGTGAAAAGGATCTTGTCTTTCGACGAACCCAATCCCGACGATCACCCTCACCTCGACGACTCGACCCTGCACCGCTCTTCCCCACGCATCGTCGTCCCCACGTCCTCCCTCTCCTCCCCCGACCTCCCCGCGCCATCCCGCCACGAACTGCAGTCATTCATGTCGCTCTGCTCTCAACTCTCTTCCAACTCCGCCGAGCTCGCACAGATCGCCACCGCAGCCGGCATCACCGACCCTCGCGACATCGAAAGCCTCCGTCTGCGTTTCGCCACCCTAGCCGAGGACAGGGAGCAAGCGACCGAGGTGCTGAAGCAGGCAAAGATGGCTCAGATGCTCGGAGAGAGCAAGGTCGAGCGTGGAGGCGAGGAGGGTGGTGATGTTGAGTCAGACGAGGGGAAGAAGGAGTAGACGTGGTTGTGTCGTTTCTGAGGCGATGATTTGATGCTTGATGCATATTTCTGTAGCCACGCGTAGTGCTCGTCGAGAACTTATTGAATCTGATATGCCATTCCATGCTGTCGCTGATTGTGTTGAGAAGCTGAATTATGAATATCACGACTCGCAGAGCATCACTTCTCGTCCACCAGCTCAAACGCATTCCTCCTCGTCGAAATGCGCATCTGCTTGCAACTCGATAGATCCATCACCTCCAAGAAGGGATTCGCCTCTATCGTCGCCTTGACAATCGATTCGGGAACAGCGGTGTTGCTGACATCGAGCGATCTCAACGTCGTGATGAGCGGTAAGAACTGCCAAGCGTGCTCGGAGAGTTTTGCGTCGGGGAGTTTGAGGTGCTGGACGATGCACGAGTTGGGTTGAATTCGATCGGGGACGTTGGAGAAGAAGTGGGACTGGGTTTGGGATGTTTTCAGACTTTCGATGTGCAGGCGCTGTGATCCCAAAAACAGGTCAGCTTCAGTGAATACAAGAGACTGGACTGAGGGGAAAGACTTACCGGAAAGATGGCGAGCAGGTCGGGAAACAACTCGGCAAACTCGTCTCGCACATCGAGGACGCGTAACTGTAAACGCTTCCACTTTCGATCGCGCCAACCACTACGCGAATCAGAGACCACTCTTTCGAGCAAATCGATCATCCCATCGCGCGTAAGTCTGCTGGGCATCTGTCGCAACAACATCGTCTCCATGTTCGGCGAACGCTCGATGAGTTTGATGAGCAGATCAAAGTCGATATTCGTATCCAGCAAGTTGAGTTTCCTCAACTTCAACGTTGTCGTTGCGGTTTCCGAACCGTCGGGTATTCCCATGGGAAAACAGCTCATGAAGAAGATGTGCAGATCAGGTTGATGCGCGTTGGCACCTCCCACGGCCGTGCCAGAGACATCGAGCACCTCAATCGTCTTGTGAGCGTATTTGAGGAAACACGCCACGCCGACGTCCCCCACCTGACTGCACTGCCGAAGACGCAGATTGGTCAACTTTGAGAAAGGTATGAAGCCTCCGGTGGTAGGCGCCTGCAGAGCGGTCTGTAGCGTCTTGTCGGAGAGATTCTCGTTGTAGCCCAATTTGAGCGTGTGGATGTCGGGGACGTGTTGCATGATGGCCGAGACAGAGTCGGCGGCGATGTCGGTAAAGTCCAAGTTGAGATAGCGGAGGGTGGCGCTGGTGGATCGGCAGATGGCGGCGACCGTACGATCGCCGACCGCGACACAGCCTCGAAGTGAGATGGTTTCGAGACGAAGAATGGGTTCGCTGTGCGAAGAAGGGGTGGCAGCCTCGAAGAAGCGAGCAAGTGTGCCGTCCTGCAAGCGTGTCAAGCCGTGTAGTTGCAGTGAACGAAGGGCAAACGACGTAGATTGGGATTGAAGGAGGCGGGATGGAAGCGCAGCAAGAGGCATATCCTCCGCGGTGGCTTGACTCATAATAGACGAGTGATGCTCACGAGCAGAAGTGATCGAGTTGGCGAGATGGGCGATGAGGAAGGATGCAGCCGACTTGTCGTGGGAGAGCAAAGGTATTGAGGCTGGCAGCCAGACGTGGGTCTTTGCCGCGGCAGACGCCGATGAAGAGCTCGACGAGCTGCCCAAAATGGGAGGCAAGAAGTAGTTGATGACGACCGTCTTGGTGAGATGCTGCGGTGCTTGATCGACGAGGGCGCGAAAGAGGAGGAAGGATGCGGCTGGAGAAAGCAACTTGAGCTGTTCTGATGTCTTGCGAGTGAGGTAGTGCAGCTCTGACGTGGTCCATCCTGCCAGAAGCCGGCTAGAAGCGTTGTTGCCACTGAGTGTGGAAGAAGATGCGGTATGTGAGGCTTCTCTGCGGCTGCGAGTGGATCTTGACGTCGAAGATTTGAGGTTAGAGCCCTCATCGTCGCTTGGGATGTAGTCTTGCTGGTCCTCGTCGGAATCAGGAGCTGCCCCAAATGCTCTGCCTCTGGACCGCTTGCGAGGATTAGAGCTCTGCTTGAGCGTGTGAGCGTTCTTGATGGATTGATTGGCTTTGGAGGATGTACTTGAGCCGGCAGCGACTTCAAATTGGTCGCGAGACGGCAATAGCGCATCGAAGCATGAAGCTATGACGGAGCAACACATGCTGCTCAGCGTAGGGAGTTGAAAGTCTGGACCATCCCGATGAGCTTGCTGGGTCAGCGAGAGCGGTCGATACGACACGTTCTGACGCCGCGTGCGTGAGTCGGGGGCGAACAGGTTCTGGACGCGAGTTTCCTCGATGTCGTCGTCGTAGATGTGCAGGATGCGCGCCGAAGTCTTTGGTTGAGCAGAGCGCTTGGGTCGTTTCGCCTGATTTCTGCCGTTTGATGCTGATGGTTGGCGTGTCGAGGAGCTAGAAGCGACCGATTGATACCGGCTACTGGCTCGGTTGGAGCTGGACGCAGCATTCCGTCTGTGCGAGGATGAGGATGATGAGGACGAGGTGCGATTGAGATCCGGATCGTGGCTGCGCACTCTGCTGTCGGCGCGTATTTGCGATATGGACAGCTTTTTGGGCGGCATAGCTGATGGCGAGTCGGGACAAGGTGTCCTTCAACTGCGAGCGACGAAGAGAAGATGGTTGATGGCTGTCTGCTTGGACACAGGAAGCAGGATGTTCCATCCCAGACCCTGTTTTTCCTGTATGCCTCCACACTCGAAGCTGGAAAAAGAAAAGGATCCGACTCCCGGAACTCAGGAAGCAAATCTGTTAGGCCGTTACAAGTTTTGCAGTAGAATTGTTTGAGCCACGCGTGCAAATCGAAGTCCTTTGCTATCGAGACTGGCACGGCAGCGTCGCTCCAGATGTGTTGTTGTAGTATTTTAACGATTTGGCGCAGCGAGGGCTGTACCGATAAAATTGGCCTTGAGATGCACGTTTCTGTTGGGTTCGCCAATCTATCGGCTTGGCTTGTTGAACCCTTGTGAAAATTGCGGCGTTCTTCTCGTTCTCTTAGTCGCTTGGGTGGGTTTCCGATGTCTCATGTGGGCTCGAGTTGGCGTGATTGTCGGCTATCGTCATTTGAAGAGGCCGTTGTCTTCTTTGTTTGTAAGCGTCTTAAGCTTGGCCCTCGGACACCGCTGTGCCGTGACGGGTGTTGAAACAGAGATGCCCGATCCAAGTTGAAACGGTTCGAAACTGGGCTCGACGTGGGCGAGTGTGAGCTTGTGGGACAGTGTGTAGTCGACAAGTTGGAGAATGTCGGGGAAGGAAAGGCAATGGACAATTGATTGCAATGCATGTGCCTTTCCTCAGCTGCATGCTCGCACACGCCAACGCGCGTTGCAGCTGCTGCAATTGCGCATTCTTCTCGTGATCTTCTGATTGACGCTTCGTTTAGACTGCACTCACACTCCCTTTTCCACGCCCATCATCCCTCAACGGCACATCCGAGTCTCCCTTTCAATCATACCATCACGCTCCTTTCACTCCGTTCATCACATCGATCGGCCAGCCCGAATCTCTCCTCTCCCATCACCTGCCGTCGGCCATTTTCCGAAGCTGAGCTAGGCTCAGCCACCTGGTCAATCGTCCGCAGCTCCAAGGCTGTATAACGACACCACGACGGCGACGACGGCGACTCAGTCTTCATACGAATCAACATGCCTGTCCTCGATACGAGGCTCGACCTCGACGCCCTCTTCCGCAAGCAGGTCAAGGCCACTCCCGATGCTCTCGCCCTCCTGGATCCTTCGGCCAGCTACACTTATGCGCAGCTCGATGCCAAAGTCGACAGCCTCTCGCTCTTCTTTCGTGCCAACCATGCCGTCGGTCGCGACTCGCTCGTCGGCATCCTCATGGGGAGAGGCGCCGACTACGTCATCGCATGTCTCGCTGCGTTGCGAGCCGGCGGCGCTTTCCTCGTTCTCGAGCTCGCCTATCCTCTCGGTCTCCTCCACGACGTGATCAAGGATGCTCAGCCAGCCGTCATTGTCACCCAGTCCGAACATGCAAAGTTGCTGCCCAAGGCAGTGCCTTCCATCTTGATCGACGATGCGGAACAAGCAGACAAGCTCTTTGCATCAGCTTCAGCTTCGGCTTCAGCTTCATCCTCATCCTCCTTGCTGCCTCTCCCGGATGAAACCGACCTCGACCGCCTTGCTTTCGTCTCGTACTCTTCTGGCACCACGGGCAAGCCGAAGGGTATCGCAAACCCACATCGCGCTCCCGTCCTCTCGTACGATCTCCGCTTCGCTGTCAACGATCTCAAGCCTGCTGACCGCGTAGCTTGCAACGTCTACTTCATTTGGGAGATGCTCCGTCCGCTCTTGCGAGGCGCCACCACCTATGCCATCCCAGATCACACCAGCTACGATCCCGTCAAGCTCGTCGAACTGCTCGCAAAGGAAAAGATCACAGAGACCCTCATGACCCCGACTCTGCTCGCAGCCGTCCTATCACGCCACCACAACCTAGGTGACAAGCTTCCTCACCTCCAGTCTCTCTGGCTCAACGGCGAAGTCGTCACCACAGATCTCGCTCGAAGGGCCACCAAGGCGCTGCCCAAGACGCGTCTTCTCAACTGCTACAGCGCCAGCGAGACACACGAGGTAGCATGCGGTGACCTGCGCGAGATGCTTACCACCTTGCCCGACGATGCCGCGTACTGCCCTGTCGGACCGCCCATGGACAAGGCTCACACCTATATTCTCGACGACGAGGGCAACCGCTTGCAACCCGGCCAAGCCGGTGAGCTGTACGTCGGAGGCGACCTGCTGGCTCGCGGCTACCTCAGCCTCGTCGACACCACCGCCAAGGCTTTCACTCCCGACGCCTTTGCTTCCAGCCCCAACGCACGCAAGTACAGGACTGGCGACTTGGCTCGCATCATTCCCGAGTCGGGACTGCTCGAGATCACCGGCCGAGTCGGTGGCATGATCAAGATCAGAGGTTACTCAATCGTGCCAGGCATTGTCGAAAAGGCTATCGTCGACAACTTCGACGTGAGCAACTGCGCTGTCGTCGCACATGGTGAGGGTCTCGAGCGTCAGCTCGTCGCCTACGTCGTGCCCGATGACGCCGAGCGCGGTGCCCGTACTGTCTTGACCATCGACGACAACGGACACAGTCCCAGCGCTCGCCAGGTGCTCGTCTCGCATCTCGCCCACTACATGATCCCCACTCTCTGGGTGGTACTGCACTCGCTCCCTACCCACGAAGTTTCTGGCAAGGTCGATCTCAAGAATCTGCCCAACCCAAAGGCTGCCATCGCTGCAGCCAGCGGCACTAACTCGAGAGCCAGAAGTCCCGCACCAGATGAGACGGTCAACCTCAAGTCGATCGCCGGGCTATGGGCGCTCTCGCTCAACATCAACCCCAACACAGTCTTGGAAGCCGGAAAGACGGTTAGCTTCTTCGACCTCGGTGGCCATTCGCTGCTGCTCGCTGACCTCGCCACTCGAATCTCCAAGACTCTCGGCGGTTTCACTGTGCCTCTGGGAGAGCTAGCCGGACAACCGACGCTCCAAGATCACGTACGCATCACCCTTGCCGCTCGCGATGGCTACAATGCTGCCGTCCAGGCTGATCTGCCGACCGTGCTGCGTGACGACATTGAGCTTGCTCCCGAGTTCAAGCTCGCCTCTCTCGACACGGTCAAGCCGACGCCCTTGAACGAGGCCAAGACCATCCTGCTGACGGGTGCCACTGGTTTCCTCGGCGGCTTCTTGCTGCACGACTTGTACCAAAACACCACGGCACGCATCGTCTGCCTGATCCGTTTCAACGCCCCTTACCGCACCGATCGATCGGCTGCCATGGCGAGATTGCGACGCAACATGCTCGATCTCGGCTTTTGGGATCACGGCATGCTCGACCGCATCGATGTGCTGCCCGCCAATCTGTCTCGTAACCGTCTTGGTCTCGTTCCCGAGGTGTACGAGAACCTGGTCGAGACCGTCGATGCCATCGTACACTGTGCGGCCCAGGTCAACCTCGTCTACCCTTACGCAGCTTTGCGCGATCCCAACGTCGAAGGCACCCGCGAGGTGCTTCGTCTCGCCTTCCTCAGCAACGCCACCGTGCAGTACGTCTCTACCAACGGTGTGCTGCCACCTTCGCAGACCGGCTGGCCAGAGTCGGCCATCATGCCGCTCGAAGATGTTCCTGAAAAGCTGCTCGATGGCTACTGCCAGACAAAGTGGGTGGCGGAACAGCTCGTGCTCGAATCGGCCAAACGTGGATTGCCTGCCAACGTGATCCGAATTGGCACGCTCAGCGGTCATTCCGAGACGGGCTCGACCAACACGTACGACCTCATCACTGCGCTCATCGTCGAATCGGTACACCTCGGTGTCGCACCCGAGATCCCCGACTGGCACATCGAGATGACCGCCGTCGACTACGTCAGCCGCGGAATCATCGCCATCGGCAACCACATCGACGCCAACCAGCGAATCTACCATCTTGGCGACAGCGAACCCATCGATTGCCGGCTGCTCTTCCAACATCTTGATTCGCTCGGATACTCGACGACGAGAACCAGCTGGAAATCGTGGGTCTCGCTGTGGCAGGAGAAGCGTGGATCGGCCAAGGGCGGAGACCACGGTCTGACGGTGGACATTCTGCGATCTGGTATGCCGTCCGAGGAGTTTTTGCTCGGCATCATTGCCTTGAAGGACGATGCGACGCGTGGTGCGTTGGGCGATCTTGAGAGGCCAAAGGTGGATGCCAAGCTGTTGCAAACGTATGCGAAGCACTGGTATGCTCGTGGATGGATGCAGAGGCAGCCTTTGAGTGTGCCGGCTACGCCCAACGGAGTAGGTAACGATGCCAATGGACTCGCTGCTGCTGCTGCGTTTGATCCCAAGTTCCCGCTCAAGGGTAAGGTAGCCGTCATCACGGGTGCTTCTTCCGGAATCGGTGCTGCTGTCGCCAAAGCTCTTGTTCGCGAAGGCGCTCACGTGGCGCTCGCAGCAAGACGTGTCGAAGCGCTCGAAAAGCTTTCCCTCGAGCTTGGCAAGATCTCACGTTCCAACGGCGCCGCCAGCGGAAGCAAGGTCCACATTCACAAGACTGACGTCGTCGATCGCACCCAGGTCGATTCGCTCATGCAGACCACCACAGACACGCTCGGTCCCATCGACATGATCGTCTCTTGCGCAGGCGTGATGTACTTTACGATGATGCACAACGTCCAAGTGTCCGAGTGGGATCAGACGGTAGACGTCAACTGCAAGGGTCTTCTCAACGTCCTCTCCACCAGTCTGCCACGATTGCTGCCTCGGAACACGGGTCACATCGTGGCGATCTCTTCGGATGCCGGTAGGAAGGTTTTCCCAGGTCTGGGCGTGTACAGCGCGTCCAAGTTCTTCGTCGAAGCGACGTTGCAGTCGTTGCGATTGGAGACGGCGGGGAGCGGGTTGAGGGTGACCTCGATCCAGCCGGGCAACACGGCGACGGATCTGCTGGGCATGAGCAGCGATCAGGAGGCGATCAAGAAGTACGGCGAACCGACGGGCGCCAAGATCCTCGATCCGGCGGATGTCGCCAACGCGATCGTGTATGCCTTGAGGCAGCCGGAGCATGTGGCGATGAACGAGGTGTTGATCGAGCCGAGGGAGGAGCCGATTTGACGAAAAGTCGAGACGGCTGGGAAGAAAGTGTATATAGTTGCGCCTAGTCATAGATGGGGGCTTTCGAAGCGATTGGTGCACTACAACGAGATTGAGAGTGGAAATGGTTTGGGAGTCGTTGGACCTTCACAACATGGGGGATCGCTCGTCATGGCTAACAACATGATAGCCGCTCTTGAGAATTTGGTTGTACTTTTGCGGAGTGCTTGGCGGTCAGACGAGAGGGTACGTGGCGGTGCCTGGCTGAATTTCACAGAATGAACGAAATGATAAGAATGTACAAGAAAGGTCTCTGGGAAACAGACAACAGGAAAGATTTTGAGGGAAGCAGAAAGGGCTAGCAGTGGGACAGCAACCCGACCATTTAATGAGTACCGCAGTGGATCGAACCGTCAGCATGGGTGTGGCAATCGGCCGCAGCGGCGCTCGGCGTACTTGCGCTTGCCTGAGCCGCCTGCGTCTGGGTCGTCGCAGCTGCTGCACTCGATGTCGCACTGTGATCGTGACCACTGTGATCGTCGTGGTCCTCCTCCTTTACCTCCCCTACACAACCCCAGCTGGTCAACTTTCTGCTGTACACATCCAAGCTAAAGTACTGCAAACTATGCTGGTTCTCTACCGCCCTCGTCCCATTTCCATCTTCACTCTTTGCCAATTCCAATACATCCACATAGGAGTCTGCATAGTGGTGGATCTTCTCATGGGAGAACTCTGGAACGTGGAAAGCACGATGCATGAGGTCAGCACCAAAGTATGTGGAAGGGTTGTTGACGGAAAGTTGGAAGCCACCGGAGCAGAGTTTTTCGAGAGGAAGGCGGGAGGTGTAGGAGAGCTCGCAGATGACGGTTTCGCTGGTAGCATTGTTACCGCGCCAGTGACCGTTCCACTCGGGCAAGCGGCAGTTGTCGTCCGGGTCATCGCAACGCAAAAGAGAATCGCCTTTGTTACCCTGCAAAACCCCCAAGAAATGTCAGTACAAGAGAGAACGAGAGAAGCAGAGAAGAAAAGAAGAGAAAAAAAGACGTACATAGACGAGCTGAGCATAGTATCCGATGACAGGAGCAGGATCAGCATTGGCACCAAAGTACTTGGCAAAGTACTCGTCCTTGGGGTAGTTGAGGATGTGGTTGAGCGAGTTGGTCGCGAGCTTGTGCATGTCCTCGATGCCGCGCGAGATCTGGGCGCGTTGGGTTCCGTTGCAGGATTCGTGGATCTTCCACTGCGAGGCGATGGATTCCTCGGGCTGGAACGAGGCGAGCGAGCGCGGGTAGAGGGAGGACGGGTAGGCGACCGCCAAGCTGGCCACCGAAGCGAGGCTGACGAACGAGGGCAGGAGATGCATCGTGAGAGACGTGGTGAGGACGATGATGCGAGGGTGGGTGGTTGGAGTAGGTCGAGGAAGCGGATGGGTATCGGTGTAGAGGTTGTAGGAAGGTTATATATGGACGAGCGGGAGGTAGTGGACTTTGGTCGGGAGCAGTAAGAAGGTAGTCCGGCTCGGAAGTTTTTACAAGCGAGATATCTGCTTTTCCTATGAACAAACCTTTCAACACAGTCGAACGGTCAAAACTCGGTCCGACCTCGACACCACTTCTTCCAAATCAGGGGTCGCTCGCATGGCGATCTTCTTGCATCCTTGGCATCAGCGTGGGAAAGTTAAAGAGCCAAGCATACTACAAAGGTTCTCTATAAAACTTTTTCCGTTGCACACAAACCCTCTCGTTGGTACCATATTCGAATGGTCGAGGCTGACGAGACTGAGGCGAGGACTGGCAGGCCAAGGAAGTCGGATCAGAGGAAGCCGAGAATGGCGAGAGGAGGAGGACCTTCAAGGTTCTGTTCGGCTTTCTATCGGGTGCCTGAACGTCTCAAATCCAGGGTCGGGTGGAGTTGGCAGGGGTTGACACGACGGCGAAAAGAGCGGCGGAGGTGAAGACGAAGCTCTAAAGTTGGCCGGCGCTCTAGTTTGCGCCAAGAAGGCACGATTTGCGGCTTTGTGGTCGCTTGAGCTAGTACATGATTCGGAAGGGGATTGCACTGCAGAACTCGACAGACGAGCAGAGGCAAAGCTGTCGGGCGCTTCGTGTCGCGTGTGGCGACTGTCTCGAACGCAGCGGCACTGCAGGCACTCTTTCTTGGCATCGAACGGACAACTTGCACAGTACTCTAACAATTTTTTCAACAGACCCTTGCTTCTACCACACGCACGTGGGAGGGCATCGCTGACACTACGAGAGGACGGGGAAGAAGCAGACAGTAGCGGGATGAGGATGTCGTGCGGCGAAGCAATCGAGCGGCAGAAAAGCGGCTCGCGGTTTTGGACAGCTGCCTTTTCCTGCAGAAGCCAAAAAAATGGAAAAAAAGTCTTGGCAGAACGACCTTTCCGGTTACCGACGCGACCTTGATACCAAGTCCGTCTTCGAGAGGTATCTTAGTCAATAGGATCGACTCGAGTAATGCGATGGTCGAACCGGTCCATTTGCGCTCTGAAACTCTGCATGGAAGAAGAATGATTGGTTCAAGGTGTGGCAAGAAGGTATTTGGCTAGAAGGGGCTCGAGCGAAGAGGCAGGGTGTTGGAAGGTGAAATCGAGGTGTGGTTCGGTTCTTTTTGCCAAGAGAAATCGACCGCGTGCACAGATGACCCTGAAGGAAGTTTTGTTTGATCTCTGTCAGATGTCAAGGCGAAGAGACCAGCGGCTCTTAACGCTGTCCTTCTGTTTGAGGTGCTGGTGAGAGGGGGAGGTCAAGCCTTCTGCCGTCGACGACGTTCTCGCTCTCGTCATTACTTTCGACGTGGACGTGGAAGGATAGGAAAGATACATAAGTCACCGACCTTTCTCGTCATCCAAGTTCAAACCCAACGATCATTCCATCATCAAGTCTTCGGCCATCATGTTCGGCCTCAAACGAGCTTCAGTAGCCGCGCTGCTGCTGCTAGCCGCTACACCCTTCGTCTCGGCCCAAGCGTCGATCACCACGGCGATCACCGTAAGCGGCACGCCCACCACCACCATCGTGGCACCCTCGCCTACCGGTCGAGGCTATTGCGAGTTCTTCGTCGATCACTGGGACTGCGATCCCACACGCGCCGAGGTCACCACCACTGCATCCTCTCCGAGCGCGGTTCCGTCTCCGGAAGGCCAGAACTGCGTGCTGCACGTGGATCACTACCACTGCGACGCCGCGACGACGAGCACTACCGCTGCAGCTGCTGCACAGGCGAGCCCTACCGGTCAAGGGGAGTGCGTCTTCCACGTTGACCACTGGGATTGTGAAGGTGGTGATCACGCTGGTCACGACCACTCCGGTCATTCGCACGCTGGACACAGCCACGGACCCTCGGAGCTGTACGGCTGCGGTCTCGCGCCGCTCGAAGACTACGACCTGCCGCTTCACATCGGAGCGGTGTTCATCCTGCTCGTCTCGACCGCACTCGGTGCCTACCTGCCCATCCTCCTCTACACCAGATCATCCCGGAGCGAGAGGTCGAACCGATGGGCGGACGAGATCTTCTTCATCTGCAGACACTTTGGCACGGGTGTTCTGATCAGCACCGCCTTCGTCCACCTGCTCAGTCACGCCGTGCTGTACTTTGGCAACGAATGCGTGGGAGAGCTCAAGTACGAGGCTACGGGACCGGCGATCGCCATGGGTGCAGTCTGGTTGGTGTTTCTGATGGACTTTTTCCTGCTCAGAGCGTTGAGGAAGAAGTCTGTCGCCCAACCTGCTGAACAGCAGCAGGAGCAGATGGAGAAACGTGAATCCAACTCTTCCCTCGATCACACCGATTCCTCGCTCACCGAGGGTGGTGGCTTGTACGGTGGTCTCTCGTATGCTCAGGCCAAAGTGGCAGAGTGGGACGTGATCGCCATCGAAGCCGGTATCATCTTCCACTCGATCCTCATTGGTGTCACGTTGGGTGTCGCGACGGGGTCCGGATTCGTAGCGCTGCTGATCGCGATCGTCTTCCACCAGCTGTTCGAAGGTCTGGCGTTGGGTTCGCGTCTATCGCTGCTAACGTGGAAGAGCACCGCGTACAAGGCGACCATGGCAACCGCCTTCGTGCTCATTACCCCCATCGGTGTCGCCATCGGCATCGGTGTGAGGAAGAGCTTCAACAGCAACAGCGCAGCGACGTTGATCACGCTCGGAACGTTCCACGCGCTCAGCGCGGGTATCCTGCTGTACACTGCGCTCGTCGAGCTTCTCAGTGGTGATTTTATCCACAACGTCAAGATGCAGAAGAACTCGTTGGCAAGGTGCATCGCTGCGGTGGCCGCCTTGACCATCGGCATCATGGCTATGTCGGTGCTTGCGTTGTGGGCCTAAGCGCAGGTCTGCAGATGTTAGTATGTAAAGTTGTTTTTCGAGCATCGGAACGATTGAAGTTCGTTTGTGCCCTTGACTGGCTTGTATGCGTGCTCTTGAGCCGTTTCTACTTTTCGATCCGATGATTGCTCGCTGTGATATCACGGGTAACAAGACGGTCAAACTCAAGTCAGCTGCTGCCTTTATCGAAATGATGCTTCGTGGAACCACTTACCCAGATCACTGGCACCCTTGAACTGCTGCAAAGCGACCTCCTTCAACCCCACGATCTTGATCTCTGCTAAGGCATCCACCACATTGTACAGCGTTGGCAGCTGTTGAAAGGTGCCTCTCTCGATCTGCAGTTTCACTTTGCCTGCGCAGAACTCGTGCTCTCCGTCCGCGGTCTTGTTCGCCTTGCTATCGATTAAGGATGGACAGCTTTTTGATACACCGCCTGCACCAGTCCTGACTGTTTGAAAGCGCAACACGCTCGGCGGACTCGGTGGAGGAGGGCAGAAAGTCGCATAGTCTGCATCTGCTTTCCCCGGTTCGCCGACGGCAGGTACATAGCGTTGATGCAAGATGCCATCCTTTGTCGGATGCGTGTAAGCTCTTTGACTCGGATTCAGCGCGGGGCTTTGTTCAACCGCAAAGTCAGTGAGCGACAGCTGAAGACGAAGAAACTCGTACCCATCCCAGCTGAGAGTGTGAACCTGTGTTTCCTCTCCACCTTCCGCACGGATATTGGCGTCAGGTATCTCGGCAAAGACCTTGGGAAAGCCGAGCTCTTCTCTTCCAGTACTGATGGGGTCGGTAAAGTTCTCGAACAGAACGGCAAGGTAGGACGCTTTGATGGAAGGAGAGACACGTGAACAGATGACGTCGTTGAGGTAGATCCCGAGAGTGTTGTATCCTCGACCGGCCAGCCAGGGTAGGTTGCGGAGTTGCATGACTTCGAATAGGATGGTAGGGTGTGGTGCGGTGGGGTCGACGGTGTAGCCTGGTGGTAGGATGGCGTTGAGCGAGTCTCGGTCGGCTTCGAGCACTACACCTGTCCAGGCGTTCGTGAGAGCAACATGTCAGAGTGAGAAGAAGCAGACACAAAGATGGAGCGTTTGTGAGAATCGACTTACCGACGGTGGTGGTACGTGCATCCGACCAGTCAAACCTGCTTCCATCGGGCGCTTGACGTGGCGAAGGTGCTGGGCCGAAGCCGATGGGTGCTCGGTAGATGCGATTCGAAGACGGGGTGCTCATTTTGTTGCGGGAAGGCGTGGAGGAAGAAGCAGTCTCAGAGTCATGATGCTGATGCTTTTGTACAGAAGCATGGCATGAAGAGCTGAGTCAAGGGTTGCAGCGTTCCAGTGCAAGGCACATGGGCACTTCGGCAGGAGTGGGGAGCGAAAGACGGTTGCCGTCCTACTAGAATTTCGCGATGCAGAACATCTCTGCTCCGTCTCCCATTTGAGGGCCGATACTGACACCCATTTCATGCTCTTACCACAGTCATTGCTTTCAGCCTCGCACGGTGTCAACTGCAATCTGTATATTGTCACTACTAGCCCCGAAATCATTGACCAGGGAAACCTTCATCCGTCAACGCCTTTCCATCAATGACAACGGGCTTGCTGTGGATCAAAACGAAAGCGATCCTGACCCACTTGTCGGTGTTGTTCCTCCAGAGATGGTTGGTGCCGCGCTGGATGCAAGTGTCGCCTGCCTTGAGGGTCCTCTTTTCGCCGCCATCGAGTTCGAGCTCCACCTCGCCAAAGATGACGATGCCGTAATCGAGGGTCTGTGTGCGGTGCATGGGGCTGCACGCGTTGGGAGGCATGTCGACGAATCGTACCACGGAGCCGTTGTCGTTGTGGGATCTGCCGGAGAAGGTGGGCTTGGTGGCTCCGTCGGCTGGAGTTTGGTTGTCGATAGGCCATTGGTTGGTGCTCCACATGACCTGTTGGTTGGACGGTATGAGGAAGAAGTCAGCAGCTGCTTGCTCGAATTGTGCTCCCTTGGGATACTCACAGCGAAAGTTGCGTGCTCTGGAGTCACGTCGAGACGCTCGATCTCGTCGTCCTTGTCGATGATGGCGAGACCTTTGGCATCGTGACCAGTGACGATGCGTCGCATGCCTCCAACGGGGGCGCTCTCTGGTGCTGGGATCGTCATGGTCTGTGTCGTGCTGTCAATGCGTGGTTGATGGTTTGCAGGAAGAGAGCCGCGCGGAGGATTCCATCACTGGCTTTATAGTCCGACCACACCATGCCGGCCCCCCTTTCGGTGTGTTGCGCTCTTTGACCTGGCAGAACAGCAGCGAGAGTAGGACCAACAGTCTCGGCATGCGTGGGGCGTGCGGGGTAAGCGTGTTGCTCCACCCCCACCTCGGCCACTTTGACTTGCGACAATTTGCCGCGGGAATTCGAGAAGATTGCCGATTGCAACAAGATGAGCTCGATCTTACATTGATTTTCGTGACCTCGATTTTGGCCGCAAGATTGATATCATTTCAACCACGTCGCCGCTCCATCTCGCTCAATCCTCATCAAAGCAAGAGACCATTCACACATGGCTTGAGCTGGAAGCAAATGGTATATGCGTTGAAGTACGTGTGATCGACAGTACGAGGGGTAACGGAATAGTAAAACACAGGAGGGGCCCAAAGGGGCGGTACTGAGAGGACCCACGCAATTTATGACGATTACTGGCTTGCGTCGCTGGTAAGGATGTGAACACCGTCAGCAGGGTTCTTCTCGTCCTTGACCTCCTGGTCAGCCTGTAGGTGGCTGGAGGCTGTGGAAGAATGCGAGTTGTGGTTGTTGGCCTGGTAGAGGCTCACCTCGGTCGAGGCGAATTGACGTGCGGGTACGCCGTGTGCAAACAGCTCGTCCATCTCGGCCGATGTGCGGTTGCGCGACTCGGGCAGGCCAAAGAAGAGGATCACAAGGATGATGCCGCAAGTGCCGAGGTACAAGAACGCACCGCGGGCTCCCCAGTTCCACGCGTCGGGGGAGAGCATGCGTGGTGTGAGCGTGTTGGTGATCAGACCCGTGAGCACGTAGGTGAGACGTGCGAGTCCGATCGATCTGGCAAGCAGACGCGTCGAAGGGATCTCAGCGATGATGGTGTAAGCTCCCGGTCCGATGGTGCAGTTGTAGAAGAGCGCAAAGGAGATGAGGATAGCTCCCGTTGCCCACGAGACAGCCTGCGATTCGAAGCAACCCAAGGTGCCGATGATGATGAGGTGGACACAGCAGAGGACAGCACCAAGCAGGTACAGAGTTCGTCGACCCATACCGCGCAGAAGGAACCAAGACGTCACCGTTCCAATCATGTAGGTGGTGTTCATGACGATATTGAGGTTGAAGGCATTGTTCTGGCTGAGACCGGCGCGGCGGAAGAAAGTGACGGCGTAAGACATCAGAGGGTTTCCACACCACCACTGGAGCGAGTAGACGACGCAGACGAGCAGCGTACGCCGCGTCGACGTTCCACGGAAGCACTCGCGGTACGAGGCGCCGGCCTGCTCGGCGATCTCGAGCGCGTTGGTGTGCTTCATAAAGTCGACCTGGTTCTCGATGTGCGACTCGTCCTCGCCGCTGCTCTTGGTCTGCATCCTACGAAGCGATGCCTTGGCGTCCTCGTACCGTCCCTTGCGCACGTAGTGCCATGGCGATTCGGGTGCAAAGTATGCAATCAACAACAGCGGGATAGGCCAGACCCACTGAAGCGCGAATGGCATCCTCCATGCCCACTGTCCCTCCATGTTGAGCGTCGCACGCACCACGATCGAAGAGAGGAAGATCCCAAGCCCCCAGCAGAAGCAGACGTACGAAGTCATGTAGGGTCGCAGCATGATGGGGCAGATCTCGGCGGCGTAGGTGGTGGTAAGGGATTGGAAGACCCCCCACGGCACGCCCATCAAAATTTCACCTGCAGAGAGCATGGGAAGGGAAATGGCAAAGACGGGCATGAAGATCGTTGCGGTCATGAACGCCATCGAGGCCATGTAGACAGGCCGGTAGCCCCAGCGGTCGGAAGCATAGCCCTGAAGCATCAGTCCAAACACTTCGCCAACGAGAGCCGAGTTGGAAAGACCTGTCTGCCAAGGTGCCGTGATGACCTTTTCGCCGTTACCCAACACAGTACCGAACCGGTCGATGAAGGCGTTGGAACCGTAGAAGCTGTTGATGACGACGACATCGTAGCCTTCCATCACCAGAGCTGTCGACAGCCCGATACTCCACAGAGCTGCCTTCCAGTGCTTGCGGAAGGCAGCTACCACTCCCAGATCCTGGTGGTCGTAGTCAGCGGCTGCCTGAGCGCCCTTGACAACATTGTCGTAGTCGTTGCCGAGTTGATTGTGCATGCGAAGAGCATCCTCCTTCTCGATCACCACAGCATCTTGTGCCTCGTTATGGTAGTCGACCATGATCTGTGTGGCCAGTCGTCAGAATCGGATGGACTGTGTTGAGGGTGATGTGAGATTGATGACGGAACGACTGTGTGGGGAAACAGGGGTGCAGACATGATGTCTATATATGCTGCAAAGCAAGTGGTAGCGTGCGCATGCACCCGAGGTGTTCCTGAGACTTGGGACTCGCATATTCCCGCAGGTTAGGTATGGCGGCGGTTGATGCATATGTGCGTGCTCGGTAATCTTTCAAACAAATGCGGGGCCCCCTTCGGCTTTGCGAGTTCGGCTCGAGATCACCAGCGAGGGAATACGAAAAGGTACGATGAGCAAGTGACGTTGCAGGAGAAAGCCGAAGCAGCCTCTTCGGGAGCCGCCTTGATGCGCGGGAATCTTTGCTTCGTCCAACAAGACGTACGAGTGCGAGTGGCGTCTGTCATCTGCCAAAGACGGTACGCTGGGCGGCAGCGATCCAAGCCGCGGTCACACGCACTTCCGCCGCCGGATCAAAATCGGTCAGCTGAGCGGAGTTGCGTTTCGAGCATTAAACAAAGAATGCCGTGGCTGTGATTGCACAGCGTACCACACTAAGACGGAGTTGCAGACGGCGGGACCCCTCAGGATAGAGATAACCGACGTACCCGAGACAACGGTCAAGACTCCGCTCAGCCGGAAGCGAAGCAATATGCATGCAGCCTAGGCCGCGACCCACGCGAAAGGTTTCCCCTTTCAAACGTTCGACATTGCCGAAAACAAAGTAACATGACCGAACAAGATCTCCAGTCCAAGCGCTCCAACAGGTGGGTGGCTTCGCCAGCGCATCTGCATTTTATCTGAGCGTCGCAGGGTTCTTTGGGATGGTGGAGATTCCCGGAAATCATGCTGTATGTTCGTTCTGGCACGACATCATTGCGTTGATCGTACATTGGAACGCTACCGTGTCGGAGAACCACATGATCTCTTGTCGGAGTGTCCTTAGAGCTAGAAAGATCGAAATCTCCGCATGTCTTCCTACTGATCCTTATCGAGCATGCGATTCGAACGACTTTCATGGACCAGATTGCCGTACCTGCTCGAGCAAGCAGGTCGACAGCCATTGGTGCTGCTTTGATCCAGAACGTAGGTGCTCGAATGTGACGGACAAGCCCTTCAGTCATGAGATACGCAAGAAGCGCGGGACTCAAGTCTTACGCGAGATGGGGGAAATCTTGTCTTCATTGTCAACGATTCGATGCGCTATCTATGCTCGAGTGAGTGATCTAGTTAGAGGGCTTTGACGCGCAGCGAAGTGCGCATCCTGCCCAGCGTCTCTGCCCTGTTGCAACGGTAGTAGTATGGCACAAACACGAGGTCCCTTCCTTGACCTTGCTGTTCATAGTACCCCGGCTGGCGGTTCTGCTCGAAAGCAGATGCGAACCCGTCCTCGTCCTGCACCTTGAGCGTGTATCCTGCTTTTGGCAATGTAAGCTTGATGATACCTGCCTCGTCCGGTTTGTTCACCCTGATTTGCATTGCGTCGCTGGGAAGCTGGACACAGAGATGCTTGAAATGTTGTTCGCGGTCGGGCAGCTCGTTGATCCATGCATTGTCGACATCTTCGATGCAGTAGATCAGCGGACCGTAGGCCAGAGTGATACGGCTAGGACCGACATCAGGGTGAGAGTGGAGGATGCGTGGCGTGAGATTCAGCTGCAGCTGGAAGTCACCGGGTTGGGTGATGGCAAGGTACCCGTTCGTAAACTTTGCGTCTCCCGAGAACTGGTAGTCGGATTGCGCCCAACCAGGGATGCGAAGCCAGATTGTGGCCGAAGGAGCGATCTTGTCCACCTTGAGCTTGACGCTGCCGTCCAGAGGATAGTCTGTCTGAATCTGCACCCTGTTACCAAGGTAGTCGATGTTGCCTGCAAAGATCTGGTGGATGGCAAGATCGGAAGGACGCGCAACCAGCGTGCCGAAGAAATACCCTTGGAGGCAGCCAAACGTTCGCATCACATTCGGCGGGCAACATGCGCATTCGAACCAGTCGAATCGCTGGCAAGGTTCCTCGTGCGAGCTGGCGAGCTGATTGACGTAGGTGAACGACTTGCCGTTGACCGACATGCCTGTCGTGATGCTCGAGTTGAAAAGAACCCGTTCGGCTACGTCGGCAACGTTGACATCGAGCTTCTCGTGAAGGAGACGATCGGCAAGCATGAGAAGACCGATACCCGCGCAGGTTTCGGTGTAGCAACCACCCTCGTCTGTGCTGATCGGGAGCGAGTACGGAATGCCAAAGCCTTCCCACTGCTTGATGCTGCCGATGCCGCCAGTGACGTACATCTTGGTGCGAACCATGCTGTTCCAAAGTGTCCTAGCAGCAGCAGCTAGCTCTTTGACCTGGTGCTCGGTGGTGAATCGCGTGCTGTCGGGCGAGACGACGAGATCTTGCACTGCTGTGAGAAGGTACATGGCCCTGACAGAGTGACCCTCGATGGTGTCTTGCTCGGCAATCGGCTTGTGCGCTTGCATGTACCAGAAGCTGTACGGTTTGGGCATCATGCTCGGAATAGTATGGGGGTGCTCGCCTCGCCTGGCTTGCTCATCATTGTAGTACTGACCTCCGTTCCTGCCTCGTTCAGTGAGGAAGTAGGTTGCAAGTCGCAGACAGTCGGCGTGTGCTGTTCGACGGTACAGCCTAAGCAGAGCAAGCTCCACTTCAGGATGCCCCGGGTAACCTGCAAGCTTTCCAGCTTCGGTGCCGAATACAGTGCAGCAGTAGTCGACGAAACGGAGCATGACTTTGTTAAGCTTGTCCGAACCAGTCTGCGCGTGATATGCCAGAGCCGCCTCGATGAGGTGACCGAAATTGTACAGCTCGTGCAAGTCTCGAAGGCTGGACCATCGCTTCTCTGGTTCGTTAGCGACGAAGTGGATGTTCAAGTAGCCATCTGGCTGTTGAGCCTTCTCGATAAGGTCAACAAGGTACTCGACGTGGGATTGAATCTCCGCATCTGGGTTGTTCTGCAGGTGATAGCAAGCGCCTTCGATCCATTTGGCAACATCGGATTCCCAGAAGAGGTGGTCTGGGACAGGCCAGATGGAAGGCGGCTTGTCATAGTAGGGAATGTGCTTGAGGTTGAAAGCGTCATATCTGCCAGTCTTACGCAAAAGGTCAAGCTGGATGGGGATGGTGACGTTGCGGGCTACCGACTGCCATCGCTCCCAGTAAGATCCAGGCTGGAGTGAGGCGTTGACGAACTTCTCTTGGGGGTAGTCGCCTGCCATGATGAACGAAGTCGATGGTTCGAGAGATGGTGGTCTGAAGCAGAATGTGGGATACGGGTTGGCTTTTGTAAGATCAGCTTGACACTTCTGCGCTTACTGTAACCGTCGAGTACCAATTCATGCGAGCAGTGGGGTACGGATACGACCTACGAAATCTTCTGCCGAAGCCCGCCATCGCTGGTACGTACCCGAGTACACAGTAAGCCGAAGTTCCCAAGGGTCCAAACGGCAATGTCTGCGGGGATGTCGTGCGGGGATGTCACGCCTCGGGAATCTTGACCTATAGTGGATCAGGCAATGCTTTTATTAATAAATTTATATCTTCATTCTCATGCTTCTCAAGCAGCCATGTGCATAGCCTACTAGCAAAAGGCTTCTTTGCTTCAGACCCTTGAACAAGCACAAGCTACGCCGTTCAATGGTCCAAGTGCTCGTTCAAATAGCGAGGCATATCTAGAAATCGATATACAATGTACAAAGGGAGAAATGCAGGATGATCTGTCGAACACTCGGCACTTCAATCTTCAAGTGTGCAGTCGGATGGCGTAGGCATCGTTGCCGTTGCCGACATTGAAAGAGACAGTAGCCGCATTGTTGCTCACCGGGACCGTTTGCGAGGTGTAGTTGGTCTGCCAACCCGAGACTGCGTGGCCACTGTTGTACGGGAGGAAGATGAGATCAGCCTTGACCGACGTGGCGCTTCCAAAGTACGAATTGATGTTCTGGAAGTTGACGTTCCAGGTGCCGGTGTAGCCTTGACTACCAACTAGTGCGGTTACATTGTTGGTTGAACCGACGGCGTACGAATCGATGCTGGAGCCCGAGTCGGTGCTGCAGGGCGCACCGTTCATGTTCTTGTAGTACTTGTACATCTGGTATTCGCCAGTCGTCGAGTACGAGCCGTCCGAGTTCTTGATGAGCAACCCGGCAAGACAGTCGAGCAAAGCTGCTCCGCTAGCCCAGTTGCCTCGCAGTGCGTTGAACTTGAGACGTTCATAACGTGCATGGAACCATGCACCCCAACCTGGGTTCTGCTGAGCAGGCACACCGAATTCGTTGTTCTGCACTCCGATGCCGGTAGTGAGACCATAATTCTTGACGTACGCAGGTAGTGCCTGAGCAGGAGGGATAGGGTCGTTGGGAAGTCCACCTTCCATGTGCCAGTTGTACACGTCCGGCTGAATGGCAGTACCACCGTTGGACTGGATCGACGAGAGCCAGCTGTTCCACCAGCCGTTGTTGTAACCTGGATTGCCGGCTGTACTCGGACCGACGATGGGCAGATAGTTGCCGCTATTGGGTCCGAAAGCGTTGCGGAGCGCGACAGTAGTCCTGCGCCACAGCTCGTTGAACTGAGACTGATCTCTGCCACCAAAGTTGATATCCGGCTCGTTCCAAGGCTCCAATTGCAAGACGTAGGCGGCGGTCATGCCGTTTGCGCGGATATCAGAGATCAATTGCTGGACGAATGCATCCCACTTTGTCCAGTCGCCATTGTCGCCTGGCCACACGAACGAATTGTTGGTGGTTTCATCTGCGCCGTAAAGGTCAGCCATCTTGGCAATGGTGACACCGCCGACCGCGCGCATACGCTGGTAAGCACCGAGGAGCTGGTTGAAGCGACGTTGGTAGGAGGCCATGCTTGCAGCGTATCCAGAGGGCTGAGAGTCAATCTGCGCCCCACCTTCCGAGAGGTAGTTGATGCCAAGGTCGGTGATGTACGACTGCGGAGGACTGGTGCCATTGACACCGTACAGTACGCCCTGGGCGAAGTGCGCAGGCGACCCCGAGCATTGGTTGAGATGGACAGTGGTGGTGTCCGAAGCTCTCTTGGCGATAGGCGAAGCAGTAGCCAACACCACCGTGGTGGCCGCCGTGGCGATGAGGTGCATGGGATTCGTCTTCATTGTTGGATGTAGCAAGGACAAATGGGCCTGGAGCGGTGGCGTAGAGGATCAAAAGCCTTCGAATTTATATACTCGCAGAAACAGCGTTGGAAGCATCTTTGAAAGCCTTTCGCTAGGTGCTGCGGAGCCCCACATCACAGTCTCGACAGCGAGCCGGAGATCTTTCGTGCGTCGGAGATCTGATGCCTAGCGACCTGGGACCTGTCAACGCCGCTTCAAGAAGCTTTCGCTACCCACACTCGTCCAAAGACCGCAGCTTGTCGTCAAATTTACTGGGAGGTACCTTACGTAGCAGGTCGCACGGATCATGCCAGGGTATGAAGCGTCGGCATGAAGGCCGTGTAGCTGCTGCAGATTGCCGACAGGCGGAGCACAGTTGGCCTTAGCGGACAAGATTTCCGCTCCCCAACGAAGCAACGACCAGAACGATCATGGTAAGGTGAACGTAGGACCGTGTCTTTGCGAGCATGCGACTATGCCAGGGAAGCAAACTAGGTCAACTATCTGCATCGTTGCGACCTACGCCGTCAAAGACGATTGCCGAACCTGCGGCTTTACGGACATTTCTGACGATGAAAAGAGGAAAGACCACTACATTTGCCAGAGCCTTGTCCGAATGCATGATGTTCGGCAGGGTCAGCTGGTCCGCGAGATAGCCGTGAATCGTCGACTCAGTGTGCAATTGTCATGTTCATCAGGTCTACTGCTCATGCGTGCGTACGCTCGGAAATGTGGGGCTCGGCAATCTATCGTCTGAGTTTGAACATGAGCGCAGAAGCGATACGCATAATGTGGGGTTAGCCTATGTCTAGGCGAGTGAGTGGTATGAGTCAGCCGCGAGACCATGCATGAAAACAGCGGGGCAAATTGCCGTGCGCCTCTCTTTGTGTAGATTACCGCGTCCTGGCTCACCATCGTCTTGCCTGACCGAGCTCAGTCCGAGGCGGTTGCAGGCCAGACAGTGACGCAGGAATCGGCACTGACAGCGGCGACCCAGCAAGACAGTATGTAGAGCAGGCCTGCTATGTGCAGCAAACAGACGGATTTGTTCAGAGACACAGCGAAACGCCACCTATGGAAAGTGGCGATTCCACGCACCAGTCGAGATCGCCGATGCTGCCGTTCGCGCGATCATGGGACCACCGCCTAAAGCACGAGTCTGAGCCGTCATACGCTGCTTCAGAAAGACTGACGCCGCTTGCGAATGTCGAAGAGGGCCGCGTCCTCTCTTTCTATCGTGGGACTTGCTGCACGAAAGATCTTTCCTTGTCAGCGCCTCCTTCGATCCAGACAACTGCCACCCCGCTGTTGTTGAATTGTGGTGTCGATTTGCCAACGTCAAACATCCTCACATCACAGTGCTCGGCAAAGATGCTTGAAGCAGAGGGAGATGCCATCGTCTATCGGTATGATAACGAGCTTCTCCGTCTCGAAGCATGGGGGCCCAACGCTATTCGTGTCCGATCTACACGTTTGCCCGACTTCCCCTCGGAATCGTGGGGCATCTGTGCTCAGCCGCCCAGCGCTTCAGTCCAGGTCAAAGCGATCGCAGCCTCGAAAGGTGGCGCGGCTTCTGACGGACTGGAGCTTACGAATGGAGAGATCAAAGCTTCGCTTTCTGCGCGAGGCAAAGTGGTGATTTACAACACCAGCACAGGTTCTGTGCTGCTGGAAGAGTACTCTCGGAATCGCGATGACCCGCGCGATCCCAACTGCAGCGCCCTTCTCATCGATGCGAGAGACTTCATACCTATCATTGGCGGCGACTACAAGCTGCGTGCCCGCTTCCAGACGCAACACCCCAACGAGAAGATTTTTGGAATGGGACAATATCAGCACGGTCACCTCGATCTCATGGGCGTCGACCTTGAGCTTGCGCATCGAAACTCGCAAGCCAGCGTGCCATTCTTCCAGTCGAGTCGAGGGTATGGGTTTCTGTGGAACAATCCGGCCGTTGGTAGAGCCACCTTTGGTAAGAATGTCATCACGTTCGAAGCTGAGTGCACAAAGGTGCTCGACTATTGGATTGTTGCAGGGCAGACGCCTTGCGAAATACAACGGGCGTACGCTCAAGTGGTTGGCAAGCCCCCGATGATGCCAGAGTGGGGTCTTGGCTTCATGCAAAGCAAGCTGCGATACCAAACTCAGGATGAATTGCTCTCGGTGGCACGCAAGTACAAAGCCTTGGACATTCCTCTTGGCGTGATCATCTGCGATTTCTTCCACTGGAGACGCCAAGGCGATTGGACATTCGACCCAACCTACTGGCCAGACCCCAAGGGCATGGTGGACGAACTCAAACGAATCGGCGTCGAACTCATGGTCTCCATTTGGCCCACGGTCGACAAGCGCAGCTCAAACTACGAACCTTTCAAGGAATCTGGCCATCTCATCCGCACGGAGCGCGGCGCACGAACGCAATTCGACTTTCTTGGTGACTGCTGCATTGTCGACTTTACCAATCCGGCGGCTCGCCAGCATGTCTGGTCGATCGCTCGGAAGAGCTATCACGATCTAGGCATCAAGTTGTTCTGGCTTGACGAGGCCGAGCCAGAATACCTCAAGTACGATTTCGACCATTTTCGCTACCATAACGGACCTATGCTGGCAGTTGGAAACGAGTACCCGCGCTCCTACGCTCGTTGCTTTTACGAGGGGCAGCTGTCAAGTGGACAGTCCGAGGTCGTCAACCTGATCCGCTGTGCCTGGATAGGATCACAACGCTACGGCGCGCTTCTATGGTCTGGTGATATTGCCTCCTCATGGTTGAGTATGAGAGCGCAGCTCGTTGCAGGTTTGAGCGTCTCGATCGCGGGCATCCCCTGGTGGAACAGCGACATCGGCGGCTTCCATGGCGGTGATCCAGCGGACCCCGCGTTCTGTGAGCTGCTGGTTCGCTGGTTCCAGTGGGGTGCCTTTTGTCCAGTCATGCGTCTTCACGGCGACCGAGAGCCACGCCAACCGAAGCCCGATGCTGCTCGAAACGATCCTGATTACTGCCAGTCTGGTGCCGACAACGAAATCTGGTCGTACGGCGAAGACAACTTTGTCATTCTCAGGAAATACGTACTCATCAGAGAAGCGCTCCGCGATTACACAAAACACGCGATGAGGATCGCTTCGGAGCACGGTGATCCGATCATGCGGACACTCTTCTACGAATTTCCCTCAGATCCCGTCGCTTGGGAGATACAGGACCAGTACATGTACGGTGACAAGTACCTAGTCTGTCCAATTCTTACTCCAAACTCGACGCATCGCAGCGTTTATTTTCCTCTTGGAGCAGAATGGGCTCGCGTCTCGTTTGATGACGGGGTTCTGACGACGAGTAAGGACATTCTACAAGGTGGTCAAAATGTGCGAGCCGAGGCGCCCATCGAGGACATGCCCGTCTTCCAGCGCCTCTAAAGCACGCTGCGCTGCAGACATTCGCAGCAGAGACAACTGGCTGGAAAGCGTACGTGCGATGCAGAACATTCGAGAACAGCAGCAGCAACTAACTGTCTGGCTGGATTGCCCGGGAGTGATTTGACACCCTGAACAGGGGTAAGAGGGGAATAGCGGTCAATAATAAAGAAGCCGTCAGCATGTCATAGACATTCCACACAAGATCAGAGGAGTCGAAGCAGCCAAAGATGCGTATGGTCGAATAAAAGGCGTGAAATTAGTGACCCACGATCTGACACTAGCAAGCTTCGTCGCCCTCGACAAGGAAGGCGTCGCTCTCGGGCTGCTGGAATTCGGCATCCTCGCCGCAGTAGCTGCACTAGTGTCTCGGCAAATCGGACGTTGTTGCGAGCGGCCATTTACAGCACGTCTGTTGACGAGCCTTGATCTCCGAAATCGCCGCAGCGGGGTGATCTCCGAAATCGCCGCAGCGGGGTGTTGGTCAGCGTCGGACTTGAACACACGTCGACCAACGCATTCATGTCCGAGCCAAACGACACGGTCTAGCTGAGCAACGCCGTCTTGAACACCGTCTACGATCGCTCGGCGAATACTTCACTCGACTCGGCCAATTGATCTTTTCCCGCTCTAGCACGGAAACCGACCGAAGGTGATAGTACGCTCGTTGAGTTTGCAACCATAAGGGATAAAAGTTTGCAAGATCGTTCGAGATGCCCTTCTCAATGCAAACTCCGCAGCTCTGCCAAGAGACTTGGACAAAGTTTCTGCATTTTAGAATGATGGTAGATAGGAGTGTCAACTTTGACAGTCGTAAGCATGCTAGTCTTGCGCATCTCGATCATGTCGATCGGTACGGCTGCATTGGAGAAGACACTGTAGACAACAACACCTTCGGCGACTAGCTCGATCCAAAAAATCTCATGATGCATGCGATTCGTTTCCCATCTCGCGACTCTTTGTTTGGTCCCCTTTGTCACTTTGTGTTGGGATGTGTAAACTCCCACATTGCGCATAGCCGATGTGCGAGTCTGTACATCGGCCTTTGCACCCTGCTTTCTCTTAGTTTCTAGAAGCTGCAGGTCGAATGTTTTTTTTTCTCACGACTATATCGGTCAACTCAACAGCGGGGGGTGGGTTTGTGATCAACGCAGGGCTTTCGGTGTACGTCCCTTCCTGGGAGCTCTTGTGTGCAGCGTGGGAAATGCGAAGCATCGTCAGCTACCCGGGCCGGCTTCAACAGGATGTCAGGAGTAATGACATCGTGACGAACAGAGCGACGCTTGGGAAAATCGAAGCAATCTCCATCTCATCAGACGTGCCAAAGGACAGGGAGTGGAATGCAAAACACAGCTGTACAGACTGGCCGCGGCGCACCGACCTTAGCCCAGTTGATACGACCCTGCTTGTATCGGCGAAGTCTCCGGACCGCCCCTCCTGATCGAGGATCTTGGCGTCGGCGCAAGATGTCTCACCTCTATGCGAGATAAAATCTGCCTCGGGTGGCGCAGCAGGCCTGGTTTCGAATTTAAGCTGGTTCTGGCGTACCCTGACAGCGGACGATGCAATTTTCTGCAGACTCGGATGTGTTAACTTATCGCACCGAATCATTCGGTACCGCCACTTTGTGAATTTTAGGCGTGGCTGAGGCTGCTGTAGCTCGTTACTTCTCGTCGTTCTAGGGCCAGTGCAGCCGAGGTCTCGGGTATGGCGCTGGCCTCGAATGTTTGTATCGTGTATCGCAGCAGCCAAACGAAGGCATGCAAGACAGAGCGTCGAATCATGCAATCTCTCCCCGCAAATCGATGCTCCTCCCAACTGGCAACGAACCTCGGTGACGGTCACAACACCCGTGGGTTGCTCCCATGCCTCATGAAAGGGCTGAAGATTGGTGAGACTGTCCGCACTATGCCGGGCGTGCATGAGATTCGGACTTAGATGTAACCAGCGGTCCGGATAGCTTTAGTGGTCTTCCGATGGAGCTGAGCATGCCGACACCTGAGACACCGTACAGGTTGCGGTACAATGGGATTCCTGCTCATCTTTGCTCCACACATGCCTCCTTTCTCCTATGCGCCCCTTGACGATCCCTGCTCGTTGCACCACTTCCATAAATTGACTGCGACGGATCTACGGCATCCCCAATGACTCCCGATAAGCCTCAAACTTATAAGAGCACGACCAAGCAACAAGTACTTCTGCATGACGGGAGCAAAACAAACCGAGATGGCGCTTCAACACGCTCGAGACTCTTGGCTGGAGGAGAAACACCTTGGTAGACAGCAGCCGCAGCAGCCGCAGCAGCATAATCTGTCAGCGTCCCTAGTTGCAGCCGCGGCCGATGTGGGTGGACCATCCTACCTGACCGATGAAAGCTCAAGCCAGGTAGATCCAAGCCTGGACCTTGTCGGCTTGCAATCGTACACCTGGCAAACGCATCCACAGCCATTTCCAGGCTTTGACCAAGTCCAAGAAGCTGGCGATGCAACGTGGCAGCGGCAGCATCAGCCTTCACAGCAATTGCATTCCCACAATCTCGCTAGTGTGGGGCATGGGGTCGCTCCTCCGCTCCCAACGCCAGAGCAGATGCTTTCACCGCGGTCGTCGAGCCTCTCTTCGTCGACCCCGTCAGAGACCGAAGCGCTCCTTGCCCAAATCGCCTCTTATCTCAACCTGCCGTCGGCTTCGCAACCTCGCACGCTTGCACAGCTGAGCGGGTCACCGCAACTTGATGGGCAACAGCCATCATCTCTGCCAGCGTCAGTCTCAGCCGAGGCGACGAGGTACGATCCGCTCTGGCAGCCGTCCCAAGTGGCGGGACACAGGAGCTGGCGTTCTTCTTCCTTCTCCTCGTCCTTCTTGGATGCCGAGAACAGCACCTCGTGGGATTCTGCCCCTGTGCAAAGGCTCAAGAGGCGCTTCGGTGCGACGTGCGACCATTGCAGGAGCGTCCATCTGCGATGCGATCTGCCGTCGCGTTCCAGCTCGGCTGCCATACCGTCGTCGCTCCCATCCGTTTTGGACCAGATCGATCAGCAGCAGACGGCACCAGCAGGATCGCTCTCTTGTTCACGATGCCAAGCAAAAGGATTGAGGTGCACCATGACACCCACGCGCGCATCCGAACGTACAACTGCGTTCAATCGCTCCGGCTCGGTCATCCAGAAAGCTCGCAGCCTGCATGGATCTCTGGCTCCTGCTGCCCCAAAAATGGAGGAGCAGGCCTCAGCTTTGATCACTGCTGTATGCGCCGCTACGGCCATGCGGCCGACAGCGTTTCGAATCACCGATCGAGTCATGGCCAGATCACTGACGGTCCGCATGCTCAATTGCTACTTTGCCGTCTGCCACGTTCAGCTGCCCGTCGTCGACTATGTCGATTTCCGAGCCAGATTCAACGCGGCGGATGGCGATCCGCGCAGGATGTCCATGCTCGCCAATGCTGGCAGACAGCATGCACGCGCTCAAGATTCCAGCCCTCACGTCATAGTCGGCACGCCAGCGAGTACCGAGACCCTCTTGGCTGTTCTGGTTGCCTGGGCCGCTCGATACACGGATGCGCCACTTGCTTTCGGTGTCACCAGCCAAGACGCTGCTGGCGGTAGTTCCTCCTCAAGCTCGCCCTTCAGCTCCCCGACAGAATCACGACGAGGTTCGTTGGCCACAACGACTCCACCGAAGCGCAAACGAAAGCGCGGAGTGGCATGCGATTCTTGCAGGCTCCGTCGAGTGCGTTGCGATATCACCGAGGTGGTCGCCGGTTCCAGCTGCAGCCGGTGCCTCGAGAAAGGTATATATTGCACTGACGAGTACATTCGGTCTACACAAGCCAAGTCCAAGCAGAAGACATCCGGCGACAGCAGCACCAGCAACAACGATGGGGACTCCTCCAGCCTTTCGGTGGCCTTCAATGCGTTTTTGGACACTTCACCCTCGTTGACCAGCTCGATCAGCCTACGTGCATGGATGCCATCCGCTGAGGCTGTAGGTGGTTCGGGCACTCATGCACAGCGTTCGCTCGCGTGGCGTCGAGGAAGGCAGCGAAAGGCATTCTGCCTGGGCGCTTTGCAGCACGCTCTCGACCTGGCGAACAAGCACGATTTGGTGAACAAGCCAAGCGTCGAGTGCATCCAAGTGCTCACCTTGCTTTATTCTCTCGTCGAGTCGATCGATCCGGCTCAAGGTCAACGTCTCATCAGGGCGGCGTGCAGTCACTTGGAGAAGCTCGGGCTGACAGCTCAAATGACCTTGAATCTCGGCGATTCGAACAGCGTGGTCAACGTTCTGCGGACACTTCAAGCGCATCGCAGCTACACGGTTCCGTGGTGTATGGATGCGATCGCGTCTGTGCTGCTCAAACGAGCGCCTTGCTTTGCGCTTGAGTGGATCGTCCAATTCGAAGAGCATGGGCAGCAGCAAGCTCAACGGCCCCTGTTGTCACTGGTGCCTTCCCAGATGAGCGGCCTCACCCAGGCGGCGGGTGTGGGGTTGTCCATCACGTCCATGCTGCAACTCGGCGCGGTGGCACGCTCGATCGGCAAGCACATCCTGATGGAGCAACGAGTCGACAAGCTGCAACAGGCTTGTCACACAGCATGGTTTAGCGTCGACAGCGTGATGAGCATGTCTGACCGCTCCGCCAGCTGCGTAGGCTCGGCGCTGGATTCCATGCCTGCGCTGCATCCGCTCGGATGGGTGGGCATCACCAAGGTGCTCGCTTCGCTTCTGCACCTAGCCATCTTTCGAGCGCTAAGCGAACAGTGCGCGGCGTTGGCGGCACAAAATGTACCGGACGATCTTGAGGCGATGCAGATGCTGCAAAGCCAAGGCATGCTTCGAGCGATCGAGTCGTGTCGAAGAACAAGCCACTTCATCAAGGTCATACTGCCATTGGGCATCATTCAGTTCCGAGGCAGCACCTTCAAGCAGATCCCGCATCTGGCCAAGTTTCTGGCCCAAGTGCCAACAGTCGCCGAGCCTCAGGGTGAAACAGACTTTCAAAGTCAGCAGCATTCGCCGCCGATGGACGCACTGCACTCGTCGGATAAGCGCCAGGGAGAGGTGCTGAAGTCGGTAGAAGGGCTCGGTCGCGCTCAACTCGGTCCGTTCACCACAGCAGCCAAGCAGCGGGAAGTCGAGTGGCTCATAGCTGCACTGCTACAGCTGGGCTATGCGTGGGACGAGATGCCGGACGAGGCGAACGACGTTCAGAGCCTGCTTCACTCGCAAGGCTTGTGATGAGCTGTAGCGCTTGTCCACATCAACGAAAGAAAGAACAATGATAACCTTCGTCACCTTTTGTTTTACTTTTCACTGCTATGGGTACTACATCATGTTCACATACACGTCACAATCGAACATGTTTTTTTCCGTCTTTGTTTTTGTTTCGAAACAGTCTTTGCATTATGGTGTGTGCGATACTGGCCAAGGCAGGCGTGTCGATGATAGAGAGACGGGGAGAGAGTTGGGATTGACATCTAGGTCAAAGCACTGATGGCAAAGCGGGCGCCGAGATCCTGCACTGAAGGGTCGAAACCATACAAAAAGTGCGGAGGAGTTGTGCCGACTCCGGGGAAGAGTTGGCAGACGCCGTCTCCAGGGAGGCAAATGTTCTTCGTCTTGGACACCCAGTTGGAAGGGGTACCCTTGTAGAGGAAGAACAGGGCTCCTCGTGCATCTCTGGTGGAATCGCCTCCGTCTCCATCAACGTTGCAGGCCTGGCCAGGTACGTGCGTAGGGTCACCAATGAGGATGGCGGCCTTGACTGCGTCAAAGGCAGCCCCTTGGAGCTGGGGCATAGTCTGGGTGACCACCGATGCGCCTTGAGAGTAGCCCTGCAGGACAAAGCAGGTGCGAGGGTCCTCAGAGAGGCTATCGTTGACCTTGCGGATGATGTCGCGCACACCAACGTCGACTTGATTGAACGGGTCGGCGGGGTAGACGACGGGGTAGTCGGTTCCATTCGGGACCGTGGACAGGATTTTGGCATTCATCGCCTTGAAACCGATCGACGGACCTTGTGGCTCGCCCGTTCCGCGTGCCTCGATGATGACATATGATGGACACGAGGCATCCCGCTCCATCAACGGTGCGCAACGAGCTACGGGCGCAAGTGCAAACAGCACGGCCGACGCGACGATCGTAGAGAGAATCTTGTCCATTTTTGTTGTGCTTGGATGGGCAGTAGCACAAAGAGTTCGAAGTCCGCAACGAGAGATCGGGAGTGGTGTGGGAAGGAAAGTGGAACTAATGAGTAAGGCGGTCGTACTTTGTATCTCGCTCGTTCTTGATGGTGGCCCCTCTTTCTACTTTTTGCGGCAAGGCTCGACGCAGTCAATCAGACACAGACGTCTCCTTTCGACAAGCGTTTCCCCACTCCAAGCCACCGTATTCGCTCGTCGTTGAGAGGTACGAGGCGAAAACCCACTGCCATCTACACTTAGCCGAGCTGATCGGCAAACCACTTGTTTGGGGGCACAGACGTACAGTACCTCTGCTCGGGATCAGCGCCGGGTGCATATCGCTTCGAACCGGTTGAACGGAGGAACATGTCGCTTCTGTTTACATAGTAGATCGCATCGAACAGAAGTGCGGGACAATCAATGTTGTCTCGTCTTTGATCGTCGGAAAACCAACTCTGCAGTAGACTTTCGATCGATGGCATGTACTATTGTGTCGAAGAGCGCACAGTGAGCGTCGTACGGTCCAGCGAGTGTCTCTAGTCAGGGTCCCGGCAGAATCAAAGGCAGGAATGCTGCCACTTGTTGTCGACCGGATTCGAGAACGCGCTCGGCAATTACGCCGCCAAAGTATGTTTCAGATTTTTGCGACGACCTACCCGAGATCGGCTGGGCGACGAGGCAGCTTTAATTCGCTCGAGTGCTGACGAGGCAGCTGATCGTCACAAACCCCGTGAATGGAACGCCACTCGTAACTCGCCTACGTCAAGGATCTCTCCGTTCCCCGATCTCGGCCCGTACTTTGACGGCCGAGAATCATGGGTCTTGACGAGGCAACTGATCGTCTACAAACAGGTGTGGCAGAAATGCCGCTTAGGACCGGTCCACTAGATGTCTGACATCTCTGTGTTTCCGACCGCGTCCCGGGCTTTGACAGGCTTGGATTCACGGGTGCAGGAGAGGCCTCCTACCGTTCACTAACACTGTAGCTCAAAAGCTATATGAGATCTTGCGAGACGATCCGACACGACCATGTCTGACATTGTTCTTTTCCCGACCACATCCCGTGCTAAGATGAGCCTCGGTATCCTTGCGGCGACCGTGTGCGCCGGGCACGTCCAAAACTTCTGCTCTCGACCGCTTGATGCGCCGCCGCGCTCATTAGCGTGTGTGTTCGGCGTCCGAGACCCTGTTCTAGACCGGTTACAAGACGGACGAACCCCTTCATGATCTTCGTGGAGTTCATGTCGCCTCGTTATCTCGCAAGATCCGGGCATATCCGTCAGCACCTTTTCATATCTGAGTGTCTTCAACAATGCTCGCCATCGACCAGCGAGGTTTCAGACGCCGACGTTGGCGTAAACACCCGAAGTGAAACCTTTCGTATTCGGCAGCTGATACTCGGAAAAGGGTCCATCCGAGCTAACGGAGCCAATCATGTCCGAGCTATCTTTCATCCGACCGCAACAAGTGCTGAGGTGCTGTTGCCGTCTGCCGTAACATGAGTCGGACCCTGTTAATCATGAGATCCCGAAAGGATTGCTTTGCGAGGCAACGGTCCAAGCGAGCTCATGCATCCGAACCCTGTACGAAAGGACATTCATGGCGTGCTTTCATCTATTTGACGAACCACATCCTTGCCATTGACAAATGAGAAGGCTCCTTTGGAAGAAAGGTTGCGATTCTGGTCAGTGGCTAGGATCGAATTCCATCGTGACGGAACGTCGATATAAAGAGAGGCCCCTTCTCGTTCGAAGTCATGTCAAACATCATTCTCCTCAAGCCTATCCACTCCTATCGACTCTGTCATCGGATCCCCCCCAACCCTCCATTTCCCCCTTCCTTCTAGCTCCAAAGACTTGGAAGCTTTGTCAAGATGAAGCTGTCCTTCCAGCTACCGCTCTTACTCTCGATCGGTCTCATGGCCGTGCCGTCCATGTGCCTGCCCAACTTTGGTGCCATGATGGCTCCTGGTCCCAACGGCGAGCCTTCGCACTTTGAAAAGCGCCTGCTTTCTGCCAACCCGTTGCAGCTCAACGGCCTGCTGAATACCATCAAGAGTAAGGTCAACGAGCTCAACCCGAACGTCACCGTTCCTGCCGCTGGTGACCTGCTCAACACCAAGATCACCGACATCACCGAGGACACCATCTACAAGGCGTTCGGCATCGTACGTGGCCAAGGGATCTTGCCTCCTGCCGAGGATGCGGCTCACCCCTGGCAGGCTCCGCCCGCAGGTGCCAAGCGTGGACCTTGCCCTGGTCTCAACACGCTTGCCAACCACGGGTACCTGCCTCGCAACGGCGTCGTCAACCCGGTCGAGCTGATCCTGGGTACGTTCGAGGGACTCAACCTGAGTCCTGATCTTGCCGGTATTCTGGCTGCCATCTCGTTCGTCGGTATGGGCGATCTGCTGCAGTTGAAGCTGTCAATCGGCGACCGGTACGGCCTCGGCGATGGTCTGAACCACCACGGCATCTTGGAAGGCGATGCTTCCGTTACTCGCAAGGACCACTACTTCGGCAACAGCTGGGATGCGGACCCGGCACTGGTGGCGCAGTTCATCAACGAGACCAACACGTACGGCAACGGCGACGTCAGCGTCTGGTCGCTGGCCAACTCGCGCTACCGAGCCTGGGATTACGGCCGCACCAACAACCCGCAGTTCGACTTCAACCCTTGGCGTATGCTGGTGGCGTACGGCGAGAGCGGATTCGTGCACGAAGTGCTGCGTGGCTCTTCCGTCAAGTTTGACGAGTCGATGATCAAATCGTGGTTCCTGGACGAGAAGTTCCCCAAAGGTTGGTCCAAGAGACTCGTGCCCATGTCGACGCCCGAGATCTTGGCCTGGGCGGGCATCATCCTTCTGCCGAAGCCGACTCTTCCCGGCTGGAGCGTCGGAAAGGGAGCATTCATCCCACTTCCCACTACCGACGGTGCGTACCAGGAGCTTGCTTCGCTTCTAGACCCCAAGACCACGGGTGCCACGCTGGGACGACTGTTCTGCGACGCTGGAAACGCCGTGCTTGGATTCTTCCCTTCGCAGATCACCAACTTGCTCGCTGGTATCGGTCTCAAGGGCGTTGGTGCCCCGCTGAAATGCTAAGAAAGCGGCATCTCATCCGTCTCGGAGACGTGTCTCCTTTCCTCCCTTTCCCTGTCTACCGTATCAAGTATTCCGTATCAAGTATCCCGCATCTCGAGGCTCAGAGGTGCATTCCTTCTTGTAGCTTGAACCCCGAGAGTGTCCCTTAGTTCCCTTTCGATTCTATCCTGTCTGTCTTGGAATACAGCGTTTTCGTCCTTTTGCCTGCGATGAGCCTGTCCCTCGACTCTTGTGAGGTGCCGAGTGCTCCACAGCCCACTGTGGGCTTTGACAATGTTGGTGCTTCTGCGCAATATCCGTGAACAAGGGAGCGAGATGTCGATGAAATAATGTCGGTGGGACTCAGTTGCGGTGCTCAGAATTCGCGGTGCTGCGCCATTTGGAGTGACTCCGACGGACTCGATTTCTGACAGCTGACGTTTCGAAAGAACTCGGCTGCGTTTTCCCTGCACAGACCCTTCCGCGCCGGTTGAGTTCCTTGATTCTCGGTTCGAGCTCCGCTGCGAGATGAAACTCAGCCTTGCCTCGATTCTTCTCCTTGACCATCACCCCGACCGACCTTCCAAAGTCACCTCTGACTCGACCTGACTCGACTCGACTCAGCCATTCCAGGGAAGAGCGAAGAAGGAGCGCCTCAGCTGAGGTCGAGCGCACTTTGGAGAGAGCGTTGCATCGGCGTACCCGTGTGCTTTACCACCCACTTGATCTTGTTGTTGGTCGTCATCGGCATTGGACCCAAGCCTTGATATAGCCCACGCGCTTCTTGCTTACCTCTTGTGCCACCTCAATCGACCCGACTCTCACGACCATGTCGGATCCTGCGATGCTCGAGCTCGACGTCGAGCTGCTCTGTCGGGCTGCCCCTTCCAAAATGGCCACTTATATTCGAGATCAGACACGGGCGCGTTCCGAAGCTGCTGTCTCACGCAGTCTGCTGTACCTCATTGAGATTGAGGCCGTCGCTTCGGACATTTCCCGAACTTGGCTGAGTATCGCCAAGGATGCCAGATCGCTCTTGCTCGCTCTCCAGCAGAACGCTTCGGCTCGTCTCCGACACTGTGCCATCGAACGCTTTGGAGCTTGGCTCAAAGGTAAAGAATGGCGAGCAGCCTGGGATGCGCTCGGAGGTGCGCAGGGCATAGCTCAGCTGCTGCGCTACTTTTCCGCCTCTCAAGTCTACTCCTTCACTCGCATCGTCGGCCGCAGCGTCAGAGGCAGGCCATCTAAAGGCAAGCTCGAGAAGAGAGAGGCGGTGACACAGCTACTCTCGCTTCTCGTTCCCCAACTCAGCGCTGACCATACCGAGTCCGCGGACTCGACCGGATCGATCAACACAGACGATCGCAATCTCGCACATGCATACTCGTCGCTAGTGCCAGCATGTACGCCAGAGATGGCGTACACCGTGCTCTTCGGGCAGCAGACGGCCATGACGCTTCGAGGCGATCAGCGACACTTGCTCAGAGAGCATCCGCAGCTTTTCATCCAAGATGCGCTCTCCTCGACCCCGCCAAAGTCGAATTGGCTCGATCAAGACAAGTTCCTGCCGGCTGTACTTCTCGCTGTCACGCACGACACGAGCATCCAAGAAGACCCCGAAAAGCTCGATCGCTTCCTCACCAGAACCATCGAATCCATTCTGATTAACGGACGTCAAGTAGGCAGCGGTCTTCTGACTCCAGACACCGCACTTATCAAGAAGCTATTTGCACAGCGCCGTCTGGATCTTCTGCTTCGAAAAAGGATCATCGAGATCATTCTTCGTGCCCTGTCGAAACTTGATCATCGAGTTCCGAGCATGGCAGCTGCACTCAAAGAGCAAGCAGCTCGATCTTGGTCTCGAGCCCCTTCCGTGTTACAATCTGTTCTTCGAGAGCTTGTGCTGCCTGAGTCTGTCTTCAAACGTCAAACTACCTTTGCTAAGCTGCAAAAACACGTGCGTCCAGATCAGAGATGGGCACTCCTACAGCTCATGTTCTGTTCCGATCACCAGACTCCACCATCCGAGGTCGACGCGGCCCAGCTCCTGGACGATCTGCTCTCGACTGATCCCTACTGGCAAAAAGTGCACATCTCTGTCCTTCTCGCTTTGCCCTCACACCAGGCTCTCCTGCTCGTCGATCGAATCGCCGCCCGACCTTCCCGCGACGACATCATCATCTTGGCAAATCACAACTCCATTTTGCGCTTCACCACCACTGGTCGCCTTCTCGATGTTGACATGGTGCGTTTCGAGCTTCAACGAGATCACGCTTCGGAGGACCGCGTATCGTTCGCGAAAGCAGCAGTACAAGATTACATGGATAGAGCTTCACGAAGCTCGGAAGCAGCGGATCGTGAACATCTTGCTCGCAGCGCAATGCACTGGGCCGTCTGCAGTCGATCCATCGATCTATACACCCGTACCGTCATCTGGTTGCGTCGATTTATTCGCGATGTCACTGTCGCGCGCTCTCTCTTCTCCGAAGAGACGCTCTATCTGCGCGAAACCATCCAGCTCCTCTCAGGCATTCCGCAGATCCTCGGCCACCAAGTCACTGCTGAGCAGATCCACCTCATCATCCTTTCGGCCAACAAAGCAATCTGGGAATGGTTCGAGACGACTCGCAAGTCCTTGCTTGAGCCCAGCTTCAGCGTTCAGAACACGGCAGGCGCTCGTCTACTCATTCGGCCCGTCGTCGTCGAACGCATGCGCAGGATCGACCGATTACAAGCACATCTCGGCTTCGACACTGATGCCATCTCTAAGCTCGTCTGGGACGATACCGTTGACTTGCTGATTCGCATCGAAAAAGCGTGCATGGAACCAAACTGTCGCCGCCTGGGTGTGTACCAAATCTCCGGTCTTCTGGGCACAGAGATTGGCGAAAACTTCTTCTCGTCAGACGCCCTCACGATTCGAAGTGCGGCTGGCTTTTCGTTTGTGGAAAAGCTCTTCATCGCTCGAGACGCGCTATGGAAGCAGCATCGAATCGGTCTGAATCCAGCCGTCGCCAAGTTGCCTCGCGGCGTCCCTCAGGGTCTTCCTTTGCACGTTGCAACGAGCATCTGGGATTTGAGCCAATTTTTGCCTAGACATCCGGACTGCTTCTTGCTCCAGAGGGCGAAGTGTGTCGTCTTTGCCGAAGCCGAGGTCTTGCTTCAGCCTCTGTCGCAGAGCGAGGACACCGGGGCTGCCGAAGAATGCCACGAAGATTACACATTCTGCTTGCTCTTGCTGATCAAGGCACAGCGCAGCATTAGCCAAAAGCAACGAGTTGTCGAGGCAGCCTTTTGGCATGCTGTTGCCGTCTTGTCGAAAAGGATGCCGATGCACGAAGCAGAGGCAGAGCTCCGAGAGAATTTTTCAATCAGGCTCCACTGCCACGCCATTCCGATATTCCCATCTCTCTTTGCGCCATCTCCCTATCCGCAGTTGCCAAGCAGCCGAGATGCCGAAGGGACGTCAAGGTTACCAATCGAATGGGATCCGAATATGCTCGGCAGCCCTCCAACATTCTCAAGACGCGAATTGGAGAACACCATCTTCGATGAGATGCTTGACAGCAATGCCTGGTTGAACATGCACGATGGCACCCTGTGCTACTACTCATCGGAGTTCAGTGACACAGTTCCTATGAGAAGCCCAAGAAACGTGAGAGAACGGCCGCAACGACGGGCCTTGGACGTCCCTCTTGTTGGCTGCAAGGCAAGCAACCAAGGACTGGACGGCAATCGGGTGGTCGACAAGAATGGACAGACCCTCTTCTGCAAAGATCAGATCAGGACAATCAGAGAAGCACAGATCGCATGGCATCTTATGCTATACGATGAGATTTGCCTCGGTGTCAAGACTGGCCAAACCGCGCTGAGGCTGCCGTTTCCAGATCCACAACATGCTCGATACCCAAGGGTGGTGCTCAGTCGCTCCTTTGTCGACACGGCGCGCACACGGTTAGAAGATGACCGGCTCATAGCTCACATGCTCAAGCACCTTAGATCTCGGATCCCCCCATCCATCCTGCGAGATTTGACGCAACGTATCATGGCTGCGCGTGCAAACAAGCAGCTGTCGTGGGGCGATCAGCTGCCCACTCACTTTCTGCGCAGCTTGATCGCGAGCGATCGCCCCAGCGAGGCTGTCGAATTGGTGCTGCGTTCCGTGCTGGATAATGCAGAGGACAGCTCGTGGCATCGTGTGCTGTTCTCGCAACGGTTCTTGGAACGGCTGCCTGCTTCAGATGCATGCAAAGTCATGACGAAGATGGCTGCCGAGATCCTGCAGCGTACCGGTGCCCGATCGAGCGACTCGAAGGGCTCTGGAGCTGGCATCAAGATTTCCACCGTCAAGATGCTCGCACAGACGCTTGGTCGATCCGACATAGTCCCGATCACGGTCGCTGTCGACACGCTCGCAAAGCTACTTGATCGGAGCGACCACACCGACGTTCGTTTCGCCGCATTATCATCGATGCTCGAGCTGATCTGCACGCGTCCAAGCACGGACGATGCCCTAACAAAGCGGCTTATCCCAGAGCTTGACCGCTTTGTGCACGTTCTAGCCGCTCTAGACGAGAATCATCCGGCTCAGTCGTTCGAGGAGTGGGGCGAGGGAGTCTTGCCGGGCGTGTACGAACGAGTCGGTATTCCAAGCACCGATCTGGATTGCATGAAGGGGCTTCCAAGGACGTTTGAGCTCGTCTCACAGATGATGACGAAGCACAAGCTGTGGGCACCGATCCTCATGCAGCGGACCGTGTTGCCAGCGATGGAGGAATCGATCAAGCTACATCGACGATGGCTGGATCGCTTCTTGTCGCGCTTCTCGCTGTCGGTGGACAGCCTTGGCCTGCCGGTGCCGCCAGTGAAGCCGGAGATGCTAAACATCCTCTTGACGCAGCACGCAGCCTTGACGCCGGACTGGATTGCCGATCTGTACTGCCAGCATCTGCTGTTCAACATTCGACCGCCAGCGCAGGTGAAAGGGCTTAAACGAAAGTTGAAGAACACGGAGGACAATGCCGAGAAGCACTGGCTGGCAACGACCTCGAAGCCGAAGCTGATGTACTCTGGCTCACCTCCTTTCTTGCAAAAGTTCGTGTACGGTGTGGCAGAGTCTGCTTCGAGCCAGAGCGCCATTCACGACATGCTGAAGGAACGAGCGTATGCCGTCTCTAGAGCGGAAGAGGTCCTTCATGCCATGTTGGACGATATGCTCGAATCGAGTTGGGTCGATGAGCAATCCTTCGGAAGTATCGTGTCTCAGCTTCGACATCAAAGCTTTGGTGACGGCAAGACCGTACGGGCGAGATCTGTGGCTTGGCAGCTGTGCCTGCGACCGATACTGGAGAAGGTGATCGCCAAAGTCGACGGTCTACGTACGCCGGACTGGCAGCGTAATGTGGGAAGGAAGCCGCGTTTCCTGCCGAGCATGATGAGGCATCGGCTAGATCTGCTCCCTTATCCGGAAGATGCAGAGCCGGCCTTGTCAGCAGAGGAGAAGGTCAGGCAATGCAAAGCGTTTGCTGATGCCATCGCCGAGCATGTCAAGGCGCTAGTCAGTCGTGGAATGCCGTACAAGAGGGAGATGTCAGAGCTCCGATTTGCGGCGACCAACTGCGCTGTGATTCATCAGGCCGGCGTAGCTCTTGCTCTCGGTCAGCTCGACACGGGCGATCACGTCGAGTGCCTTTGTGTGGATATAGCAGCGAAACTGCTCTTGACGGCCAGCTGCACGACAGAAGAGGTCGAGAGCATTCAGAAGATGGTAGAAGCGTGGAGCCGATGCGAGGTGGAGTGGATCCGGACACGGCTGGATGAGCTGGTTGGCGCACGATCAAGCTACACGATGAACGATGCCAAGCTGGAGAAAGCGCTCAGGGAGAAGGAGATGCGGGACTCGGACGACGATGACACAGACGAGGATCAGGACGAGCAGGGTCCGCCAAGTGACAACCTTCAGACGGCGATCTGGACGAAGATCGACTGCTAAAGAGGCAGTACACCATCGAGCACGATAGAAGATTGCAATGTCAACTCTCATGCTTCACCAAACGACAGCGTGTCACGTATCGATCGTTGCAGTGTGCTACAGGACAACGATGAGCGAGAGACGGCACCCGAGATCACCTTGCTCATTCAAACGAGGAGCAACAGGCGAGCAATTTGTCACACACTGTTAGCCGTCTGCCGGATGATTATCCTCGGTAATTTCGTTGCCCTACTTTTTATTATTATTATTTTCTTTTCGATTGTGTTTTCGCCATTTCTGCAGGGTCCAGTCTTAGCCTGCATGATGCACGTTTCAGCGGCAACAAGAGCGTTCTTGTGGTGTGTCTAAGCTGAGTGAACGTTTTCAGAAAAGAGAGAGATAACGGGAAGCGCAACCTCTAAAAATTGAACGATTAAAAAAAGGGAGTAGAATTCTCCGGTCTTGGGCCGTCGGAATTTGTGATGACCGAACGAGGAGGTCGGGTCGATGGCGTGACGATCCAGGTGGCGATTGTTGGTGAGTGTGACTGATTGAGAGGAGAAAGCATATGAGAGAGGGGGCAAAGTTGAAGGGCTCGTGCTGGTTGCGAAGCTTGACCGCGAGGGGTTAGAGCTTGCGAAACAACCATGGCAACCGTCCAGTCAGATCTGCCCATCCTCGTCTTTGTTCTCGACCACCATCACACATCACTCCAGCTCGTCAAGCAAATCCTCTTTGGATCCGCGATGAAGAGTAAGCCAGACACCGTCCTGTCCGGCTACAAGTCCACATCCATCCCGGTGCTCGACAGCACGACGGCCAATACGGACATCCTCGCACGCATCGCTCTCACTTTTCCAGCCTCGTTGTCCCTGTCTCAACTGGAGGATTCATGGTATGCGTTGGTTCGAGCCTGGCCAGTCCTGGCTGCACGAGTTCGACCTACGCCATCCACTCCTTCGGGATTGAGCTTCTTCATCCCAACGCCGGCCAAGCTGGACGAACTGGAAAAACGATCCCGCACCACGTCCAACCCTTTGGAGAAACACATTGTCGTGCTAGACGATTCAACGCACTCCGTCTCGGCCTACCATCCGATCGTCGGTCAAGCAGTGCAATCTCAACTCGATGACACGCAGATCAGCATCGGATCCTCTCCGGAGAAGAAGCGGTTGAACGAAAGCACCTGCACCAACGCATGTACGAGTTGGAAGCAGTTGCTCGCGACAGACCAGGCGTACGTGACGGCACAGGCGACTAAGTGGAGCGATGCAACGAGCCTGTGCATCGCGTTCAGCCATACGCTGGGTGACGCCTTCGCTGTCAAGGACATCTTCGCTGCGTGGGCGAAAGCGCTCAGAGGAGAGGTGGTGGCAGGGTTGGATGGGGTTGGTGTGGACCCGTTTGGAAGGTTTCTTCCGCACGACGGAGAGAAGGTGGAAAAGCTGCCCCTGGGGTGGAAGAAGTTCGGATTGGCAAACAAGATCAAGTTGATCAGTCACCTGCTCTGGGATATCCAGGTCAAGAGGCCGGAAAAGACGATCAAGCAGTACTACGTTTACATCCCCAAGAGTAAGGTCGATGCACTAGTCGCGGAAGCCAAAGCCGACGTGAAACGCATTCGATCCGCTTCCACCGAAGAAGAATCTGCTCGCGAGTACACGGTGAGCACATTCAACGTCCTCTTCGCCTGGCTTCTGCAAAACCTCCACGCCGCCAACCGCCACCCTTCGCGACACAGCAGTGTGCTGTGCGTCGTCAACGCCAAAACCCGTCCACCCACCGGACACATCCCCTCGGACTACCCGCAACATCAGCTCTGGGGTGGAGCCTTCGGTGTACCGCTTCGAAGGCTCCTCGTCCGCGACTACGCTACCCTCCCACTCGGTCAACTCGCCCTCCACATCAGGGTGTCGTTGAACGAGCAGATCGCGCCGGACAACATTCGGTCCAACGTCAGGATGCTGCTGCGCGAGACGCTGTGGAAGAAACCCAGCGGTGAGATGGTCTGGTTCTCCCCCGAGCCGCGCGACGAGTGGTGCGGGTGCACCGAGTGGAGGAGCGTCAAGTTTGGAGATGTGGAGATCGATAAATGCAGGCCGGTGGCGATCTCGACGCATATGGAGATCCCCATGACGCAGAGGAACAGGTGGGCGCTGTTGGGCGATGCGGGTGGTGGAGTGTGGTTCAGCGGTGGCATGACGGAGACTGAGGCGAGGTGGAAGGATGGATTTGGGAGGTACAAGTGGGTTGGCTAAGGGCGGTCTCAGTTGCGCGGATGGCGGGGCTCAGATGAGCGTTTTAGAGAAGACGAGCTTGGCAGCGATGCAAAGTGAAGTGAAAGAGACGAAACGAATGATTGCGATAGAAGCGTACAATATGAGACAGGCTGAGCATGTGAGAAAGCGAACGATAAGAAACTACAATCAAGGCACAGTAGACGGCACCTCTGTCCTGATACCCACCACGGCATGTTCCGCGCCGCTCGCCAACGCCGGCACCGAGTCCTCCTTCTGCTCCATCTTTGCCTCGGACTTGATGAAATCCGGCAACGGCAACTCCCTCATCCCAAACGTAGTCGCAAACCCGATGATGGCCAGAGGGACGAAGAGCCAGTACGAGTCCGATATGGCGTCTGCGTAGACACGCTTCACTACGCCCTGGATTGGCTGCGGCAGGTGGCGGAGGCTTTCCGAGAAGGCGATGACGGTAAAGTCGGTCAGACCGAGCGGGTTGAGCTGCGCGTAGTAGGGGCGAAGGTTTTTGGCGGTCTGCGTGGAGAAGATGGTGGTGGCAGCGGTGATGCCCCACACAGCACCGAAGGTGCGGGTGAAGGCGTACGCTGCCGTGGCGCTTTCCAGTCGAGACGACGGGAGCGCGGCTTGGATCGGTGGAAGGGTGATCGGGAAGAGGATGCCCAAGCCAGCTCCCGCGATGACTTGCGAGAACGCCCATTCGAGCTTGGACGTGGCAACGTGCCAGTGAGTCATCCATCCTACACCGGCAGCCATGAGGATCCACCCGGCGAAAATCAGCAGCTTGTACTTGCCAGTGACCGAGATCAAGATGCCTGCTGCCATGGCCAGCGGGAAGGAGGGGGCGGTCATGGGGAACGACCAGATCGCGGACTGCAGTGGCGTGCGGTCCTTGATGGCCTGGAAGTAGATGGGTACGATGTAGATGACGCCGTAGAAGATGACGCCGTGGAGGAAGGTTTGCAGGTAGGCGAAGGCGGCGGTTCTGTTCTGGAACAGGTCCAAGGGGAACACTGGTTTGGGGGAGATGCGGTTGGGCACCCATTCGATCACGAGGAACAAGCCCATACCCAACAGTCCGACGACGAGTGGCACCCAAATCTGCCACGATGACCAAGGGTACTTGATTCCACCCTCGGTCACCGCGATCAGGATCGAAGTGACCGAGCCGAACAGAATAGCGTTTCCCACCAGGTCCAGCCTCTGCCACCTCTCCTTGCCTGTCAGCAGTGGGACTTTGATCTTGAGGAAGACGATCAACATGACCAGTGCTACCGCGCCGATCGGCAGATTGATCCAAAAGATCCAAGGCCAAGAGTGTTCGCTAAAAGCACCACCCAGCACGGGAGCTGCGAACCCTGCCACCGCAAAGACCAAGGCGATCAGACCAAAGTACAACCCTCTCTCCCTCAACGTCGTCAGATCCGACATGATGATCTCGCACATGGCGTGGATCCCCCCTCCGCCCAACCCCTGAATACCTCTGCCCACCACCAGCATCAAGAAGCTCTTGGACGTGGCGCACACCACGCTCCCCACCAGAAAGATGACGAGCGCAGAGTTGATCGACCACGGACGACCGATCGAACACGAGAGACCGCCAAAGATGGGTTGCGAGGCCACCATGGGCAGGAGGAAGGCCGAAGTGACCCAGTTGGCGGCGATCGTCGACGGAGGAAGGTCCGAGGTGATCGAGGGTAGCGCCGTGCTGATCATGGTCATGTCGAGTGCCGCGATGAAGGCGATCAGCATGAGCGCGCTGAAGATCATCCAGAACCGCAGGTCTTTCTTCACCCTCGGGCCGAGTTCGCTTTCCGTCTCGGTAGGGGTGGCGCTCGCCGTGGAGTCAGGAGATGTATCTTGTGATGGGCTCTCGGAAATGTTCGCCTTTTCCCGATACGGATACGCGGGGACGCTAGACGCATCGCTCGACTTGTAGAGGCCAGGAGCGTTGGCGGTCGAGTAGCTCCCAGGGCTGTCCGGCACCTCGATCGAGGCGCGCTTCTCGTCGGACATGATCGACCAGCTCGAAAGGGAGGCCTCGCTGGCGACGACGGATGTTTGAGCTATGAGTCGCTGGCGTAGAACTGCGTTGGATGCAGAGAGCTCGACAGACGAGGATGTGGAGTGGTGGCGAGAAGAAGGGCTTGGCTTGAGTTGATGAAGTTGTTGTTGCTCGGGAGGAGAGGGTGGAGAGGAAAGCTGCAAGGGATCAGCGTCAAAGAAGACCCAGTTGGAACGACCGTGCCTTCGCGAATCTGAGGGGAGTTCGAGCGATTGCGCTTCCGGCTGCTGTGTCGGCGGTTCTAGCCGGCTGGAAGGAGGTCTCCGTTGAACACCGGAGGTACCCTTGATTTCGACAAAGAGTGGACCGCCTCGGACACTGAAATCAACGATCTGATGATTTCCGCTAAGCGCAGGGTTGAGTGGCGTCGGCGGCAAGATCGAGTTTCTAGGGGGTGGAAGAGGCGGTGGAACAAGGTTTCGAAGCTTGGAAGCTAAAGATGGAGCGACACGGTTGTTGTCACCGCCGCTGCGAACGATTGCCGGAGGTGCATGCTGCAGCTGCCACTGCTCATCTGGCTGAGAGCTGTCCTTCGCGGCCGTTCGTTGCCGCCACTGCTCACAGTACGCTTGCCGCCTCGCGACCACCGCCTCTGTGTTGTCAAGCACGCTGGTCGTCTCATCAAAGGTTACTGAACGGCCTCTTGGCCCAAGACGCCGATCTTGCTCCCGCTGCAGAGTCCGGTCTCCTTCAGCGCTGTTCAAGCCGAGGTATCTGGAATAGAGATCGATGCCGTGGTCCCAGTCTGCGCTTTCGTCCTCCTGCTTGGCTTCACCATCGCTCTCAACGTCCTGCCGAGTCAGACCGGCCAGACTGTGGCAATCTTCGGAGCGTTTGCCCCGAGTACGACGGCCGCTAGTGCTGCTTGGCATAGTTGCAAATGTTCCCAGGGTGGACGATGGTTGCCTCGGAAGTGAGCCACCTCGGCTAGCACCTCGACAAGGCTGTTCGCTCGCGTTGCAGGCGGACGAGGGAGACACAAGTTCCGGGAGGAACAGAAAAAAAAAGAGCAAATAGCAGACGATATCAATTCGAAGTGAGGCGGCAGCGACCGAGCCGAGCTGGGCTCTATTCGAATGACGAGGCGAAGACGAAAGGCTAGAAACGGAAGGTGAGACAATCGCGAGTGAAAGATCGTGGAGCTTGTCGTTGAGTGCAAGTGCTGTCGTACAGGACCAGCTGCAGGACGGTGACAGTGACAAAGCGGTAGAACCAGAGACGGCAAGGGCAAGAGCGACGATGATGCATGGGAACATGGAACAAACAATCCCGCAGCCGAGTTCGTCTTGACTCTTAGCAGAAGTGAGACTGTCTTGCTGGTGATCTTCGAACACTATATGAAACCGAAGCGGGTCTTCTCGCGTGAAAAACAGGGTTGCCTAAATTGGCAAGCTCGCTGTGGGAGGCACCGTCCTGAAACTTCGCCGTCTATTTTCATGCTCTGACTGCTTGAGTTTGCCTGCGATGCCGAATCGGCTGCTTTCCAGCCGCGTCACGCTCCTCAGTAGACTGACAAGCGAGAGCGCTTCTCGGAACGTGTCATCCGCCATACGGTATTCTTCCACGAGAGTCTGGATTAGCCTTGAAAGCTAGCAGCCTTCTTTAACACGCTAGGCTTTTGGACTAACGTTGGCGTCCTTTGGGTCGAGATCGAAATGAAGCGCCACAATCGCCCTCATTGTTCAAATGAACGCCTAGCCAGCGATCCGATCTGAAAGTTAAAGCAGCTTCCATGCGACGTGTGACTCTTCGTGTCGGTTGAATGCCTGCGAACAGATCAATGACACTCATTGTTATCGCTGACACCGTATTGACCGGCCTGCATGCACCGGTACGCTAAAATCTTAAGCGAGCTGCACACACACTTTGAGGCGATTATTAAATAAAATATATATTCTTTCCGTCTTATCAAGAGATTATTGCCTTATTCTCCGAATTCCGTCGGACTCTGATGCGTCCTTTAGCGCGGTTTTGACATGTGACGATTGCGCCCGAAATTCGGATTTCGATTTTGTTTTGCCGATCTCCTCGGTTGGAATTGGACCAAACTTTGATATGATAAATAAAGGCCAAAAAAGACAAGAAACGAGGATAGTAGGAAACCGTGAAATTTCACAAATGGCGAGAGCTGACAGTGCGATACAGGAGAGCAATACGAAGGACCCATGCCGACAGTGAAACCCAAACGAGGTGCGAGAGCAAAGATCAGAGACGGGAAGAGGCAGGAGCGCTGAAATCGACCGAAGAAGACGAGACAGAGGTGCGTGTGGTGGCAGCTGCAGCGGCGCAGATCCTCATCCAGGCGAAAGTACGGTCGAGCCAGGCTTGCATTTTTTCGACCTCGTGGAACTTTGTATCGAAGCCCAACTGGAACTTGATCCTGCCGTCGATGGTCAGCATGCTGATCCACGGTGAAGCGTTGACTTGGCGCCCAAGGTGTGTAAAGTCAAGTCGTTCGAGCCACAAGCCGGACGCACGGGCGCTCGCCGACATGGGCTGGAAGCGCGGGTAAAGCTTGAAGACGCCGACGCTGGAGAAGCCGGGTGCTTGAGGCCCGACGATGCTGTCGAGCTCGGCTTGAGTGGGAGCAGCGGGCGAGGATTCGATCGAGTTGATGTGTGCCCATTGAGCGTTGAGTCCTCCGATGGCTCCATCGGCAGCAGCAGGCAGGGAAGAGATGCAGTGCGCAGTGGTGAGGTGCTCGTCGAGTTCGCGTCCAACGTGTCGCGCGGTCGAGACGAGATCCTGCAGTCGATTAAAGCTGGGCTCGAGCGACTGGTGGGTGTTGACAGGTACCCAGAGGAAGACAGCATCCGAGCCCAGAGGCGTCGATGTGCCCGAGACACCGTCGACGGGCGTGGTCGAAAGCCATCGTCGAGCGTTGCGCACCATCCCCATGAGGGCACCTTGGCTCGAAGCCTTGCGTTCGGGGAACGTCTCTGCCGTAGCTAGGATCGTGGCGGCCGAGGCGAGGTAGGTGACACCCGAGTGGACCTGCTTGGCGAACTTGAGCAGCTCTCGTGCCTCGCTGGCCTCCATCACCTTGGTCAAGCAGATGGTCTTGTGTGTGCGTTGGTTCCACGAGGTGGCAGGGACGAGGGCCAAAGAGCGAGCTGTGTTGTCTGCGATGAGTTGCATGTTGGCTTGAGCAGCCTTGTTTGCGCTCGTGACGTCGTCTGGTGTGGGTCTGTACTGCTGTCGGTATGCAGCCACGACGCTGCGCGGCAGCCGCGGCAGGACGTTGAGCTCGAATGAGCTCGGTGTGTAGATCGAGTCGTAAGGTGCGGATGGAGTGGCGTCGATCATGCACTGCAGGAAGACGTTGTAAAAGTCGACGACGCTTCCACCGTCGGTAACCGCGTGCGAGACGTTCCAGATAGCGTGGGCGGTACGGCTTTCGTCGCCAATCTTGGGAAGAACGAGATAGAGCATGGACTGCTTGCCCTTGGTAGCCAGAGGTCGGTTGTAAGTGTAGGCGCACAACTCATCGACCGTTCCGACACCCGGTTCGCCGATTCGTTTCACGACAAAGGTCTCGTCGACCCACTCTTGGATCGAATGCTCGTCGCGAAGCAGTCGGTACGTCATGGTCTGTGGCGACGTCGGGTCGATATGCCTGTCCATCTCGACGGCGGCCTCGGGTCGCAAGTACCTTGCTTGAATCCATGCCTGCCTTGCCCTTGCTACCAACTGGTCGAGTTCGAGCTCAGTGCCGGCGATGTGCGACCAGCTGGGTTGGTGAACACGAAACGTGGTGAGCAAGGTGAGCTCGGTGTGTCCATCGGCGATGTTTTCGTTGAACGAAGCGGAAGCCTCGTGGCCGAGGCAGGTTCGCTTCCAGACGTCTGCCTCGACGCGGTGCCACTCGAACTGGTCGATCTGAGGCGGCTGCGTGGACATGTTGAAGTCGTGCTCGTGGGCGTCGTCGAGAGATTGCTCTGATGCGGAGCAGATGAGCGATCGAAGAGCGTTGTTGATCATGTTGGCGGTGGACCGAGTGGGAGCTCACCAAGAGGAGGAAAGGGAAGGAGCAGTCCGTCCGCCTCAGAATTGGTTATATTGGCAAGGGAAAGGGAATGATCAGCGGCACAAAGCGAGCGCGGACCCACAAGACGGTTCGGACAGCGACTGATAAGGCCGGTCACAGTAGCAATGTAGCGTCGCACGAAAGTTGCGGTTAACATGTGGGCCTACAGTAGCTCCCTCGACTGTCGCTCGCAATGCTAGGCTCGAGTTTCGCTCCGTCGGTACAGTAGCTAGATCAATCAAGCTTCGATCCACTTGCGCACACTCTATTCGTCCGTCAACGTGCCTGCCCACCAGATCTATCGCAGCCTTGTGCTCTGTTCGCTTATGCAGCACCACGCGTCCTTCAAACTCGTTGCACTGTCCAGTAGCTTCAAACACTGTCGCACACCCTGTCGCCACATAGCCCACCTTGATTCGAGGATCGTGTTGCGAGACCCCTACAGCCACGCGCCTTGTGTCCTCTCCAGCCTCTGTAACGATCGGCAACACGATGCTTTGAGACGGGTCTGGACGAATCCTGCAAAGCTCAATGCAGGGACGCTGCAGCCACTACTGCGTATCCGCTCTAAGGTTGTGGCTCAGACCGTGGGTGGAGCCAGTGTCGATTTGTGTGATACAATGTACGCCAACCGCCAAGCTCGCCAACTTCTTTTTAGCATGAGAACGCGTTCCGAAATTCGACAACGGAAGAACAGGCAGCAGCTGCAGAGGCAGGCCACAGGCGTCGGCAACTCGCCCCAAGACACAGGTGCAGCCACGCCGCTGTATTTCAAATGATATTCCCTCGGCTGAGACCCTTGGGCGCTGCACCTCTTTCGTCCAAATGACAAAAATGAATTCTGACTTTTAACCTGAAATAATTTCGAAATGTCAGCGGCTAGCGGACCGCGAACTTGCCTTTCTCGTATCACCTCTCTCTGCTGCACAACGATTGGCGAGATTCGAGTGGAAATGTTGCTGTTGGACATCGACGTCGCGAAATATGGATGGCGGTTCTGGTTTCAGCTTGGTCGACAAGCATGTGACTTCAGCGACAGTCGCAGTCTGAGGCCGTCCCCGCTTCATCTCGCCACTGGCGTCCAGCGATGGGTCTCACCGCCAAAACGATCTGCCCACGACAAGGTCCGTGCTCGCCGCTCCATGACTCGCTCTGCTCCGGCCGGCTCATGTAATGATCAGTCAAGCTTACTCTTCTCAGGCTGAGAAGATTGAATGGGCGCGACCCCACCTCCATGTACGGACGAATGTTCAATACTAACAGAATCTCTGGTATATTTCCCGTGAAAAAGATTACTGTACAGCTGCGATCGAGAACGTAACTCTAGATTAGACAGAAAAGCAAGCGGCGCAAAAGACGATTCGACAGGAGAGGGTACCGTGGGTCTGGAAAAGGAGACTGCGGGACTGGTTCAGTCGCAGCCGACGGTGGAAGCCGCGCTCGAGAGTACCTTGGGGCTGTAGCTCACCTCGCTCTCCTCCTCGCCCACCGATTGAGTCTGCAGCGCAGCGCGTGTGGCTTGCTTCTGCTGGCGGAACAGCGTAGCCTGCGTCTCGATCAAACGAGCCGCAGCAGGTGCACCGCCGGCGTTTCGGCTGCGCACCGACCACACCTTGGCGTTGCGCCTGATCTTGTCCGCCTCTTCGCCTTCCAGCAAGCGCGTCATCTTGGCGACCAGATCGTCCTCGTCGACACGGGGCGCATGCTTGCTGCGCAGTCCGATGCCAAACTTTTCAGTTAGGATGCCGTACTCGTGCGTATCGAACCACTGCGAGAGCACCATCTGTGGGAGCGCGTAGTGGACTGCCTCGTTGAACGAGTTGCCGCCTCCGTGGTGGATCACAGCTCGGAGCGCAGGATGCTTGTAGATCTTGCGCTGGTCGTGCACCCATCGTGTGAAGCGCACGTACTCCAGACCCTCAAACTCCGAGAGCGTGTGCTGCGAGTAGCCCTTTTCAGCGTCCGTGTTGCGTCGAAGCTTGAGCAGGTTGATCGCGTCATTCATCTTTTCGGCTACCAGCGTAGAGGCACCGCTGGGTCGCCTCAAGTCCACCACCGGTCGTTTCTCGGAGCAGTCCGGTGTAAAGGGCGGTGAGGCGGAGCCTGGGCTGCCAGGGTTACGCTTTGGCCTGTTGAGTTTGCACAGCAGCTTGATCTTGCCTCCGCTTGTTTTGTGCAGTCGCTCGAATGCGCGTAGACACGATCGCAGTTCGGCGTCGGTCCACAGGAACATGCTCCCCATGTTGAGGTACACCACCGACTCGCCGGCCGCATACGCTTCGTCCATCCATTCCACATCCGCATCTCGGCTCGGCTTTGAGAGCAAAGTCAGCACGGGCTTGAATGTGGTCGACGACGACGGGCTCAGCTGCTTCACGAAACTAGCTGCATCGTGCGTCGGTGAATCGTGGTTCTCGGGATCACTCGTCATGCCTGCTCCGACAAATGTGATCTGATGAGGCTGTCGAATCGAATCTGTGAGGCCCGGCGTATTGAAGTGGATACCGCCAACGCAATTAGGATCCTTCCAGAGAGGAGGAACAATGGCACTGTCGGCGTTGAATCCCATCGATTTCAGCTTGAACTCCTTCTTGAGCAGCGCGCGTCGTGCGTACAGATCCTTCTTGGTGGCGTTGCCGTACGTTTCGACGATGGTGAGCTTGAAGTTCTCGAGCGCGGACATGACCGTCCTCTGTCGCCTACGTCCCATGGGATGTGGGTCGAACAAACTCTTGCGTGTGGCAGTCAGAGATGGCGAGCACGGTACGGTGAACATCCACGGCAGACCAGTCATGCGACAGCCAGTGACAAGGTTGGGTGAGAGCGCATCGACCGCAACTGTGAAAGTGGGCGAGGTGATTCGAAGTGACAACGTTAGCGTTGATCTCCCTTCAAGGATGTTCGGTCATGACCTAAAGGCACGATAGACTTACTCATGTCAGGATCGATTTCCAGCAAGCGATCACGCACGGTGGTGGCAGCATCGCGGAACTCCTGTTCTGTTACGAGTGCGACAATCTGGCAGATCTCCATGCTGCTGTAGTCGCCAGGTGGCTTACGGAGCCCCTTGAGATGCGACTGCATGCCTCGTGTAAAGTCCTCGACCGCTCGCGCGCTGCCCAGATCCGAAAAGTGGATCCTGGCTGCCAGTATGGGATCGTTTTGCTCGCTTCTGAACTCGGCGATGGCATTGCGAAAAGAAGAGCCGGTGAGGAACGTAACATCGTGACCTAGCCGGATGAGCTCATACGCCGTCGCAAGGAGGACGTTGATCTCTCCTCGAGCAGGGTTGGCAAGGAGTGCGACCTTCATGGTGGATCACTCGAGTGTGAAGTGCCGTGCGAGGGGTGCCGAAGGCTCGGATTTGAAGGTGGACTTGGCCTGACTTGCGGTGAGGAAGGGACGTCGGGAGATCTGCTTTCAAAGGCGAGACGTTTTATGCGATCAAGATGCGGACAGAAGGAAGGCACGGTCGGATGGTGGACGGATCAGTTGCCGGAAGACAGGAGCAACAGAACATCTTTCAACTGCAAAGGCATCAACATCGAATGGCGAAGACATTGAGCGCCAACGAACGAAGAAGGGGCCCATTCTCACAAGATTCATAGGCACCACAGGATCTGTAGCGAGAGGGACCGAGCTCCCCCATGTCAGCCACGATGCCGGTAGGGCAAGGACACAGGCAAAGTCAAAGCGCTCCACACCGCTCTGCGCGTGGACTAGCGCACGGAGCGCTGTCGGACCTTAACAACACAGACTCTTCCGACATCGGCAAAGATGCTTATCATGTTGCTTTGTGTGTAGCCTCAACCGATCGAGCTAGAGATGCTTTGTATGTGGCCGAAGAGACATACTAGCACGAACCATGATACTGCGGCTAGTCTGGGAAACCACGGATTCCGAGCGTCGTGGCAAGAGCTAGTACAGTATCAAGCCAACGAAGGACGCTGCACGGTATGTCAACGAAACAAACAAGGTTGTGAAAGTGCCTGGCAGTTTTCTCATGGACTGCGAAGATGAAGCTAGTGCGTCGATCGTGCATTCTCAGAACTGATACGGGCCTAGACGCAGAAACTCGGGGTCAACGCGACCGTCTGCAGGAGGAGGCTTGCAGGTGACATCTTCTGGCGCTTTCGCGAGCAACGAGGAAGTTTGCCATGATGTGCGATCGGCCAACTAGGCAGTTCGGCCATGTTTGACAGTTGATGCGCCCAAATCGCGGCCAGAGCAGCTGCCAAGCAAGGCCCTCGTTCCAAGCGAATCCATGCGCAGAGGAACCAATCACAAAGGCCCGGAAATGCGCCTCATTTCCGGCTCTTATCAAGAGGCGCAGGGGAACAGAATCAGCAAGCCGAGCCCGGAACTTGCAGCGACTAGTTCGCTCAGTCACGGTACAAGCAAAAGAGTGGAAAAAAAAGTGTTGGTAAAAACTGATTTTAGCGGTATTCTCGCGTGTTGCACACTTCGGCAACGACAATCAAATCTACAAACGAGCTAACGAGCTCGCTTGCAAATAAATCTCCGACCCTGTGTGATGACAGCCAACACCTTCGGCGGAAACGTGCCAGCTACTCGCCGCACAGCCGCTCTCACAGCGTCCTTCTTCAAGACCTTTTATCACAACTATTCGGTACGCCAAAGGCAAGCCCCAGGGTGGTGTCGGCTTAGCGTCGAAAGCGATAAGGTGACGACATTGCAGTTGCTACGACAAGGGATCGAATATCGGAGAATTTGGAAACCAACAACCATTGCCACTAAGCTTCGGCTGGACTCAGCCTCGTCTGAAGCCACGTCTCTAGCTACAGGTGTCTAGGAACGGTCGTTCACTACCAGAACAACATGGCAGGAACGCTGCCGGTCTGTCAGTGCCATCTGTCATTGCACGTTCACTCCAGTAGTGCCTTCGTACTGGTCTAACAGGAAACCTACACGGAACACGCCGCACCGAGTCTGGACTAGCCTCGGTCAAAGTCGGAATCACTTTCAGCCACTGCACAGTATCCAGGCTAAGAGATGACTCCAGCTCTTCGAAGGCGCTGACACACAATCACCGTGGCATGGTTCCTTGACGACTAGTGGGCTTTCGAAAGTAGCATATTGGTGCCGTCAATTCCACTCTACTAGCGGCTGCTGACTGTGGTGTCTCACTAAGTTTTTGCGTCCTTTCTGCAGCATGTCAGCACTTGAACACCACGACCGGTACGCATGCTTTGGTTGACCAACATCTGAAGGGCTAGGGCTTACAGTCTATTTCGAAGCCATCAGAAGGAGGAAAATCCACGACTGACTAGCAGAGGCACTAAATGTTTTCATATGCGCATGACAATTCCGCCTGGCCCCGAAGGTCTCTGCCCGTGCTACCGTCTCTGTTTCTGTAATCGCCATTTCCTCTTCCCTTGACCTACATGCATCGGTTTTGTTCTACGAAAAAAAGAAATCCGTGGGAAAAGCCAAAATAACAAATAAAAAAGGACGAAAAAAATGTACGCGAAATTCGGTCGAGCTCGGTGCGGTGACAGATAAGACTGCGTCGGCAATGTTAGCGCGTTTGCTTTACGCTACCGATCCTTTGCCGAGCCCGCATGTCGCCAGTCCGCGAGAATCGAGTTGCCATGCTGGACAGCGCCTGTCATCCGAAACCTCTGTCGCGGTAAGTGATGACAGGCGCAGTTGGCTGAACCTCGCATTCACGGCCGATGCTTTTGACTGTTTTTGCCCGTGAACAACCAGGGGCCCATCGCATTTCATGTCTCGCAGCCTTGTGGCGCAAGCAATCAGCGCCGAGCTGTGGCTTTGTTTGCCTGCAAATCCCACCTGAGACTGATGTTCAAAGCCTTCCAGCTGCACGGCCGTACTCTCGCTTGGGTAAGATCTTACCTCGAGCAGCGCTTCGCTTCGCCTCATGCAGTGTTCATCATGGTGTTCACGAACAGTGCGCGCAAAATGAAGACACCGAAGGAGCCGTGCGATACAAGTCTCGAGTCCGAGGAGGTGCGTGCATGCCTCCATAAGATCGTAGGATTGCGGTGTCGGCCGTTCACTCTAGTCAGACCCTGCAGCAAGACAAGCTCGGACCAAATTTCAGCCACCTTTTGTTGAGCGTATCCTAGCTAGTCGGGTGCCTGTAACCTTACCTCCCTTGTACCACTTCTGTTTCGAGGAAGCTTCTGACCCCTTTCCTAAGCTCAACCACCATCTAGCCTTGCCATCCACGAATTCACGACGTCCATTTTGAAGTTGTCAAGGCAATACTCAATCCACTACAATGCAGGTCCAGCAGCGCGCTTGGAAGGTCGTTTCGCAAACCGCCGCTCAACGGCCCCTTGTGGGCGTCGAAAAGATGCTCAACTACGCCGAGTACTATCAGAATGGCAATGTGAGTACAGCAGTCAGCCTTCGCCGTTCAGTGAATCTTCGTTCTGGAGCTGATGGATTCGTAATTGCTGGCCTGACTGTACAGTTCCAATTGTCGGTCACCCTCAACTTTGAGACCAACGTCTCGGCGCAGAAGCTTCGACAACGCTTTGGCTTGGCGGTCTGGGCCGTCAGAGGCTTTTTGCCAGAGCTCGGCATGTGGACGACAACCACGTCCACCGATGGCTCTCTGGATCTTGACCACGTCACCTTCACAGCATTGCAGACCGCTGACGAGGCTCAAGAATGGATCCAAGACACCGCCATCGTCGTCGACGATGGTACCACCACTGAGGAGCTGATGAACTACAACTCGAACCATCGCATCGAGCCTCCTGGAAAGCAATTCCGTGTCTATCTCGTTCTGAATCCACGTCGAGGATCGCCCTCGATCGTGTTGAATGCCTCTCACGTCCTCAACGGTCATCGAGCTCATGTTCAATGCTGCGCTATCTTGGAAGCAATGATGAGTGACAAGCTCGTTTCGCTCCTAGAGGCAACTCCAGACCCGCGTCTGGCACTTGGGGCCCTCTTTGCCCCCGAGGATGTATCGAAGGTTCTTGGCAAGCTGCCCATCAGCCTCGATACCGCCTACCAGGAACGATTCAAACCGACGGAAACCGACCTCGATGTAGGCATGGAGAAGCTTGGCGAGCGGCTCACCAACAGCGCGCTGCCGACGATCGGCGTCCCTCGCTTCGAATCTCCAGCAAAGAGCCCCGAGTATTCGCTCGGCAATGCCCACGGCCAACCGATGACCATGCTCAATCTGAAGAGGGAGATGGATTTCAACGAGTATCGCAAAGTGAGACAGGCGCACAAGAAGCTCGGCATCACCGTTCCCTCGTTCGTCTACGCGTGCATCGTCAACAGCATTGATCGACGCTGCAAGGCGAGCACGGCCCAAGACGACGAGACGCCAGGGGCACATTTAGCCTACTCTGCGCACGCCAGTCGCTGGTTCCCCGCCGAGACATTCATGAGTCGCTCTCCCGTCAACATGGCCATCGTCCCCGGATCCGGCTACATTTCTCCACACGAGCTTCGATCGGAGCAACGCGGGCGTGATCTAAGCTTGAATGAGCTGATCGCGCTGTCAAAGACGATCCGACAAAGGCAAGAGGCATTTCTCGCCAGCCCGCATATCGTGTCTACGTTGGAGCAGGTGGCTGACGAAGTCTCCCGGAACATCGCAGAGACGGCCAGCAAGCAGCAACAGGCCGGCACAGATCCGCTCGTGGCTCTCTGTCAAAACTCTCCCGCCATCTGTCCGCCTACCTTGACATCGCAGGGTGACAACGTCTTCAACCGGCTCTTCACAGCCAAGGGTGGCTCGTTGGAAGGCAGGCCAGCCAACCTCGAGGGAGACTACATCTACGTCAACAGGGGCTATATCAGCGGTCGAACCACGGATGCCACCGTCTGCTTCGCGCTGCTCGGTTTCGGTGGCGTGTTGTCGCTTGCAGGTCACTTTGACTCGCGCTTCTTCGACGCCAAGCTCGTCGATGCAATTCTGGATGACGTGTGGAAGAATTTGCGAGCAATCGCTGCAACCGTCGCCGAAGAAGAGCGCGAGGCCAAGCTCTAAGTTCTCCGACAAGTCTGATGTCTGTTCCTATGCTGTCCTTTCGTTTGTCTGTTCTGTTGTCACTCGCGCACTGTGACTGCTCTCGGTCTCCCAATCAAGCTCTTGTTCTAGATGCAGTGTGATTTTCGAATTGTTGTGAAACAGCTGAGCACTGAGGACTACACTATTGAACGCAGGCCCGTGATGAGAGGTGCGTATGTTCGTTGCACTCCGACACCATTGTCTCGTATGCTAAGCATGTCGCCCACCTTTTCCGAGGCTTACTGCGGCGGTTTAAGGTTGTTCAAGAAATCGGCAGGGATAGCATAGTCGTAAGGCTTTTGCTTGCCATCCTGGTAAAATTTGCCGTGCTCGAACTCGTTGAAGATTGGCCAGATGACGCTCTCTCCGCCTTCAGCTGCCGATCGGTATCCAGAGTTGTTGTTGAGGTCGGTGGCACAGTAGCCGGGGCAAACGACGGCGAGCTTGGGTGCATTGTCGTTGAGTGCAAAGTGACGCAGGTATGCGTTGAGTAGCGCCTTGCTGACGCTGTATCCAGAGTTGACCAGCTGATCGACCGGATTCCAAGCCTCCTTGACACCGTCCTTGCCCTGCTTCAAGCGGAGCCAGTCGTCGATCCATGCGTCGACTCGATCCCAAGACGTGTTGGGGGCGTCGAGCAGCTTGCTCTGGAGCTCCTTCGGCAGCGAAGCCGTCTGCCATGCGCCAACTTCAGAGGAGACGACGATGACCTTGCCCGAACCTTTTGTGAGGATGGTCGAGAAAGCCTCGATGGAAGCCCTGGCGCCGCGAACGTTGACGTTGAACACCTCTGGGTGTCCGTAATCCCCATCGATTCCGGAGATGCCACTGTTGTGGAGCAGCACGTCCAATGTTCCGCTCTGCTCCTTGACGGATGCCACGGCCTGCTTGACGGATTCCGGGTCGACGATCTCGAGCAGCAAGACACGGACGTTGGAAAAGTCGTGGCTTGAAACCTCTTGCTTCATCTTTTGTACAGCAGCATCGCCGTTGGCCTGCGTACGTGCGGTGAGGTAGATGGTAGCATTGGGAAGCTTTTGCGAGAGCTGCTTGACTGCTTCGTAGCCAATGCCCTTGTTGGCGCCAGTGACGACGACAGAGCGGGGTGTCGAGGGTGAGGTCATCTTTGATCGTGTTGGTTGCTTTGTGTGGAAAATGAGAAGCTTGAGACGAACAGATGGCTCAAAGAAGAGCAGCCTTTTATGCTTTCGGGTCGAGCGCAACTATGCCTCGGTCGACAGTCACGCAAAGAACAAGAATGACGACGGCGACGGCAAGCTAATTCCACGGTGTTGCCAACAATGATGTTGATGCCGCCGCGCAGCGCTCGTCCTTCCTAACTCCGAGCGCTTGGTCAAGGCTGCAGCTGACTTATGAAACGCGCCTCGAAAATGCGTTCAGGGTCCAACGGAGCTGCAGCAAGCACGAACGCGCATATCGAGCGTCGTTGACGCTGAAGGTGGAGGTGGACGTCGAGCGAGGTGTTGATCTCCGCGGAGTTAGCAGCAGCACGCGACCCGTTCCGCGCTGTCGATTCGGAAGAGAAGATTGACGCCAACGGCGTCTATATCGTGCTAGTCCCGTGTAGACGACTTCCGTCCGTCTGCATAGAGCTGCAAGCGCTGCGGCGTCTGCGTGTTCCGATCGTTCCTGGCCATTCTCCGCCCTTCCGCGGTGGACAACAATAGACCGCCGTTCTCCTGCTGTCTGACCAATTTAGTCCCCGGCGCAGTAGGATAGCGCCGATACAGCAAGCATTCACTTCAGCGAAGGATGCACGTCAAGACAGGCCGGTTCCACCATCCGACGCTGCCTTGCACCGGTTTGATTACACACAAGCTGATCGGCAGGTGAAGGGGGAGAAAGTATCACTCTCAGCTCTCAGGCGGAAGGGCTTCGTCATACACCGTTGTTCTCTTGCAATGCGAGAGGATGTGACAAGTTTGGATGTTCGTAACTTGAGGAAGACGTGACATGGCGAGAGAAGGGCCGGATATATCAAAGACTACGATACAAACACACCAAAGACAACGGATCACGACTTGGTAATCCGCTCCTCCGTGATCCAATCTACCCAATTATCGACCGTCTCTCGAACCGACTCAAATTTGATGTCGAGCACTCTTTCCGTTTCGCTCACATCGAAGTTCCTGACATTACGCTTGAGCTCTTCCACGTTGTGTGGAAGGTCAACTCGCTCGAATGCGAGGCTGGATCCACCGCGGTCCTTCGCCCAGTTGATGAGTTCCGCAGTGAGCGGTTCACCCGAACACAGAATCAGCCTTTTGCCGTTGGCCTCTTCGCTTTCCATCGCCTTGACGTGACCGTTGACCGTGTCCTGCAAGCTGACGAGGTGCATCGCGTCACCAGCATCGATCGGTCTGGCCGTCAACGCCTTCCAAAAGATGGCGTTGCTTCCGTTGAGGCCAGCATCACGTATCGCAGGCTTGCCAATCACGAACGCAGGGTGAACTGTGTTGAACGCGAAACGTGCTTTCTTCTCGCTGACAAAGTCGCGCGCAGCCTTCTCGGCCAGCGTCTTGGACGCCGCATAGATGTACATGGAATACTGTGCCACCTCTGCAGGATTGTCGGATGCCAGCTTGTCGTTGAGCGCAATGGCTGTGTCGTAGGTGATCGAATTCCAGTCCGACGATGTGTAAGTACCGGCCTGACGGATGGTTGCTGCGTCAAGCATGGCTGCGATTGACGAGGTGAGGACGACTTTGACCACTGAAGAGGTAGCGTGAGCGTCTTCCAGGAGACTCATGGTGCCGGCAACGGCGGGATCGATGAAATCGCGTTTGGCATCGATCTTGCCCGCGCCAGGGATGGGAGAGGCCGCGTGGAAAACATGGGTCACGCCCTGCAAGGCGCTCTTGAAGGCGCCAGAGGCCGTGATATCTTGCACAATGGCAATCTCGAGAGACCCTTTTGCATCCGGCGAGAGCGTCTCTCGTAGTTGCTCACCTGATGCCTCCCGACGAACCGTTGCTCTGACTCGAGCACCATGGTCGACGAGCTTCTTGACCAATGCAGAGGCGATGTAGCCGTTGGCTCCCGTAACGAGGATGAGCGAGTGTTCAAACATGACTCTTGATCGACGTTTTAGTTGAGATGGTGAGGTCAATGCGTGGGATGCGTTCGCATTCGAGGGCGAGCCGCCGAAGCCCCATTTATACACACAGGTCCTCTCAACTGATGCGACCCTTCAGCCGGAAAGCATGGATTCAACGATGACAGGCACGGGATCGCATTCGTGTCGGCAATAACGTGCACGGCCTTTTCTTTCGCCGGAATTTGGTGTATCGTGCCGCCGAATTGACGAGCATCGGCAATGACAGCTTATGTCCGCGGAGCGAGCCGCAACACGTGTCTTGAGGTCAGGTTGCCGGTCTGGCAGGGGAAAAGCTCTCTTGCCATACAGGTCCTTTGATCGAGGAGCGCTCCGGCTCTTTGGTTTGACTCTCCACTGCTCGATACGGCTGCCACTCAAATTAAAAATGGCGAGGCCAGGGCTATCGTGGAAGCATATTTGATTCTGCAGTGACCATGCTGCAATCGTCCTTCTGGCTCGCTTGAACAATGTCAGCTTTGAACAGGGCTAATGCCACTTCAAATTGGGGCACCTTGACACGGCTATGCAAATAGGATCGGACTTCTGCCATTGCCTCGTTATGTCCCTCGCCGTAGACTTTGGAAAGTAGGACCTCAAAGCTTGTGCAAGACGCTGCGTGATCTGAGCAACGAGTCTGCTTATCGAAATGCAATCAAACCGCTACCTTCACTTTATTCACCAGTCACTCCATATGGGCGGCGTTGATGCCTTGTCCTCCACTCCCCACACGTGGACTGGAGGCTGTGAGAAGCGCAGCTGGACCACAGCGATGGACAACCCGGTCCTGCTGCTTCCACGCTGCCGCATGCGACGCTACCTGATCGCAAGTGCACACCACCAGCTTGCGAGGATTAGCTTCTTGCCATGCCCTTCTTTGTTCGGGCGCTGGTCACGGATCGAGATTTAGCAAGCTTGTGAAGTAGGCCACATGCGCAAAGTTGCGGCTGCGTCGCAGCGCTTTCTTCCTTCCTCTCTTCAATCCCATCATCATCTGCATTAGCGATCTCGATCCCAGCATTCTCAGTCTTCGACAACGTCGGAAGCTTCACAAGCCTAGATTTGACCAACATAGTCACTGGAACAAAATACAGAACTGCATAGCATACAGCCGAGAGCGTGTTTATACTCTACCACACCTCATCTTCCGCTACGTGGCCCTCGGAACCAGCCGCTCGAGCGCCAACTTCATCCCGGCATTATCCACAATGAGCGCCTGTCCATGATTGTACCCCTTCATCACACTGATACAGTCGTCTCCCACCCCTGCATCCCTCAAGTAAGCCACACTGGCGGGCACATCGACCAGCACGTCCCGTTCCCCAAACACAAACTGCAAATCGGCCGGTTGGTGGCTTGGGAACTCTTCAGCCCAGAGAATCATGTCGAACCAAAGGAAGCGGCGGGCGATTGTATGTGCGATCCCCAGCTCTCGGCCGACAAAGTACCCGAGCAAGGCTTCTATGCCGCTTGCCCAGCGGCGGTGGACGAAGCTGTAACAGACACTGCCTTCCCACAAGCAGAACGATACGGGGTCAACCAAGATGTTGCGTACGAAAAGCTCGGGCGCTGCGCGGAGGAGCCAGCCGAGAACCATTGTGCCGTTGCTATGGCTTAGCGTGGCACAGCGCGAGAACTTGTAGCGATCAAGGATTGAGATGAGCGAGGAAGCCTGTTCGTCCTTCGATGGGGGCGCAAGGAAATACCGGGAGAAGATGTTGGTGCTGATATGGGGCTGTAGCAAGATCACCACTCCATCTCGATGCTTGGATAGCTTGCTGAGCATCGCTATGTACTGCCCCAAGCCAATCCCAAGACCGTGGAGGAAGACGATGGGCAGACTCTCCTTCTCCCCTTTAATGCTACTGTAATTATTGGGCTGTGCAGGCTTGACGAGGAAGCTACACTTGCCCGAGTTTTCGAGCCTGAAACCCTTTGTGAGCATAAGCCATGCCATGGTGCCGAAGGACACGCCGTTGGTGACAACGTAGTACCCAAAAGGTCTATGCATCGTCCTCACGGGGTCTAAGGTAAGTCGAATCGCTTTCACCTTTGGGTTCAAGCCCTTCTTCATATCCGGCCAACCCAGGCGGAGCTTGACCATCTCCAGCCCGTCGTTGATCAGGTGCGCGTATTGAGGCTCAGCTAGAGCGTCCTTCAGCGAGCGAGCGGAAAAGGCCCATGCCAGCCACTCCCTCACGTTGTCCTCGTAGATGTCTTCGATGGGAGCAAAGAAGAACCAGCTTCTCAGCCTTTCCCGACGAACAGAGGCGTCGTCCGGGTCCATATGCTTGTCCTTGAAAGCGCTCAAACCCATCGGCGGCGACTGCTTGGGCTTGTCCTTAGCTACGCCCTTGCTTCGTTTCGTAAGCTTGGAACCGGGAGCAGGGCCGAGTCCAGCAGTGAGAGATTTCGTGAGGAGGATTTGGAGGGTGTCTATATCTACGCTGAGCGGAGGAGGGCCAGCAGCCGCTTTCTTGGTGAGCAACCACAAGTAGATGCTGAACGGCACCTCAACAAGCGCATAGATGTACCAGAATATCGCCCAGAATCCATAGCCATGGGGGATGGCGAAGAGGTGGCCGGTCGAGTAGAAGCGGTACGCAAGAATGGCATAGCAGATAGGTGTGACGCTCCAGACTAGCGCTGCGGTAGCGAAGCCATAGATGAAACTGAGGCGGCGCTTGGGGTTGTGCCCCGTATTAAAGCCCGAGACGGGATCTATCCTGTCCAGCGGGACAAACTGCTGTTTATGAGCCGCCATGATCAGTCGTGTATTGTCGATGGTGTTCGGATGGAAGAGTCGATGGTGTTCGGATGGAAGGCGGCTGGACGCACGGAAGGAAGGCCAGCTTCCACATTGGTTGACGATGTGGAGCGCTCGACCACAGCTGAGTGATGATTTTATGCGTTGCGTCTCGCATGCAGTCGAAAATCGCCGACATGTGCAACTGTTTTCTGGGACGTAAGGCTGCACGTCTGAGTAGATTTCGCCGGTGATGAATTCTCTTGAGTTTTGTACGACATGCTTTCACGCGAAAGAAAAGTGGCTGTGACTGCGCCCGCTCAGCCAGACAGCCACGTTGTCTTGTCGAAGTTGGCAAGAGATAAGGATCGAATTCCGATAATTAAGAGGAATTCCTGCTGGTATGGCGGTTCATCAAGCTTTCTTGTGAACTTATCGTCTGCAACGGTGTCAGGTGAGTTGAATAACACTTTGTCTATTGTGTCGCTCGTGTTCTGGAGGTCACAGGAGTAGCGTACAAACTCTGAATGGTATGGGGTAGACGGCAAGGCTACCTGTAGCACTCAGTGGCAACAAACAATTTTGCGCGCCATGGCCCGGTGAAAAATGTCGACTTCCATTCAAGGTAGCCGTTGGGATGGTTGCCTGGACCCAGTGTGAAATACAAAAATGATCCAAGTCTGAGACACATCTGTATTCACCTGAGGGATGGTCTGCTACAAGAAAAGTTGAAATTTGTAGTAAGCAGGAGGATGGTCCATTACAGCTCAGAGGATGGTCTGCTACAAGTTTGATGGGGATCACCGCGCTTGGAGCAGCGCAAGAGATGCACGCTCAGAATTTCTTTGAAATTCAGGAAGACGTCCACTACGTATTTCTGAAACGCGTTGTAGTCAGCTGGAATTACCTGGAAATGCTGCGCATTAAAGTCAAGACTTCAAATCAGAAGACGTGCACTTCAAAAGATCACGACGTTCAAAATCAACAGCCCAGACGTTCATATTTGACCAGGAAGACGTTCATACTCAAGTTGGATAGGCAGCCACTA